GAGAGTTGAGGTGCACTTTTAATTCTGCAGTAAACAGAACCTGTGGTTTTATTTTGTTTGGATACAATCCAGGTTAGCACACATCCCTTTTATACAGCTTCCTTTTGCGCTCACAGTTGTTTCTGTGGTTCATCCTTCTTGGTGGTATGCGGACATTACCCTGGATATCGTGGCTCTTAAAACATTGCAAATATTGGCTGTCAGCCACAGTACCTTCCACTGCAAAAGGGGATTGCTTTCACTATCTGCAAGTGTTCCCTGCAAGTAATTCTGCCTCAACAGTTCCAGAAGGATAGGTCATCTCAACTTCTGGTTTCTTAAAAAACTTTTAAAACTCCTCTAAGGGTGCTTTCACATCTGTAGTTCGCTTCATTTGGTCTGGACCAAGGGTAATAAATGATACATTGTTGCATTTTTTGCCGTCTTTGGGTCGTTTTCACACCACACTGCTGGCTTTGGTCCGAACCAGTTGAAACAAACTAAAATGCAGTCATCTGACAAAATCCACATCTCTCATTGGCCAGATGTTGTTGAACATATTTCCTAAACTGCTTATTGATTGGTCAGAATTCACGTTCGGGAAAATGCCAGTGAACTCCCGCAGGTAAACAAAACCTTTTACTCTGGAGGGACGACTGCGCTGGCTGATTGTATCTCTGCTTTAGACAAACTATACATTACGAAAATGAAGCGCGGCCGCGGCTGGAAAACAGTGTTTAATGTATCGCTCATCACTTCAGGAGAAGAGGTGAATTAATTTAGCTAAACTGCGACATGGTCATCTTGAGTAAATATTACCAACGATCCATCAGGTAATGTTTTCCCCTCTCTCTCTCTCTCTATTAGTAAAGCGCTGTCAACAAATATTTTTCCTCCATATCCTATAATGGACAGGGCATTGGCCTACGGCAGCTGAATTAGTCCAAAATGCGCAGTACTTTTTGCGGTTGGACCTGTTTTAGTACGGATCATATTCAGACCACAAACGAACCGCTCCAGGGTTCGTTTGAAAGCATACCGAGACCACCTCTTCACGCAGGTCTCGGTACGCTTATTTGGTCCACTTTTGGTGCGCACTCGAGTACGATTGCTGCATTAACATCTGCCCAAACAAACCGTACCAAAGGGGAAGCGAACTCTAGTGCGATTCAACCGAACTAAATAAGGCAGGTGGGAAAGCACCCTTAGTTAGTTAGGTAGATAGATACTTTATTGATGCCAAAGATTATTCAGTAATCCAATAGCATAGCCTTCAAAAAATACACAAACAAACATACACACTAACTTGAGAGATAGCCGGCAGCTAACTCTCTGCAACTCTCACATGGTCGCCCACTGAAGCTAAGCAGGGCTGTGCCCGGTCAGTATTTGGATGGGAGACCACATGGGAAAGCTACGTTGCTGCCGGAAGTGGTGTTAGTGAGGCCAGCAGGGGGCACTCAACCTGCAGTCTGTGTGGGTCCTAATGCCCCAGTATAGTGATGGGGACTGGTCAGTCAGCGCCATCTTTTGGATGAAACGTTAAACCGAGGTCCCGACTCTCTGTGGTCATTAAAAATCCCAGGATGTCCTTCGAAAAAGAGTAGGGGTTTAACCCTGGCATCCTGGCCAAATCTACCCACTGGCCTCTGGCCATCATGGCCTCCTAACCAACCCCATATTCCAATTGGCTTCATTAATGTCTCCTCTCCACCAATCAGCTGGTGTGTGGTCTGGCGAAAAATGGCTGCCGTCGCGTCATCCAGGTTGATGCTGCACATTGGTGGTGGATGAGGAGATTCCCCCCAATGTGTGTAAAGTACTTTGAGTGCTCAGAAAAGCGCTATATAAATGTAAGGAATTATGTTGGCTTGAGAAAGCCAACATACTGTTATACTACTCTGTCCTTGAAAACAAACGTTTCTCCTCCTAGGCCGTTCATGCCACAAGGCCCAAATGTGGTCAAAATGTGCCTTCTACATTCAAGATTGTTGCTATATCTCCCCATGCTTATAAGACTTATTGTTTTTTTAATAAAAAATGTTAAATATTAAATTTTTATAATCCGGGCATATAGAAAAATTATACAAGCCCCAAATTTGGCCAAAAGCTGTATTTAGAAGCGTTAGATTTTGTTGCTATATCTTTAAGGTTTATCAGACTTATAGTTTTCCAATAAATAATTTTTAAGCATTATTTTTCTCAAAATATGGCAAGCCATTTTTGACTTAAACTATATTTTTTACTGATATGGCAAGCCATTTTTGCATGTATCACTTTCACACTTATTAAGCATTGTATTTTCAAAAAAATACAACCATTTAAAAATAGCAATATCTCTACATCAGAAAATTGTAGGGACCTGGGCATTGGCTTGTTTAACTCATGCTAGCAAATGGGACTTTCTGTGTACTATGCATGGTAACAATGATAATGGAAGCCAGGTGCTAATAACGATTAGCTACATGCTATGAATGATTATCTAAATGCAATAACATATGCTAGAAATGCCTACTAAGTATTAGCATTTGATCAAACATGTACACGAGCATTGCCATTTAGCAACTGCTTAGCAACCACCTAACAATGCCATAATTGTTTTAGCAACTGCCTAGCAACCACTTAGCAACCAACGCCGTGCTTTCTGCCAACTGCCATTCCCAGTCCTAGCGCAGTCACGTTGCCTTTCTCAAGCCAAATTCAAAGTTTATCAATGAACTTTAGGTTCTAGTTATTATTATTATTCTTAGGCCTGGATTGATGGTAGAAGGACATCTGCCAGTACAACATTTGCCAGAGTAATTAGCAGTATACTCTGCTGTGGCGAAGTAAGTCAAAATGATTGAGTGTTCTCAGACCTTTACTGTACAAAACCAATGTTAACATTTTACTCAAACCCATACCTAATAAACCCCATTAATCCACGAAAACAGAATTATCAAGTTGTTTCCTATTAAATGTCACGGGGCTATCTTGCTCACACTTGCTTCATCTTCACATCTAAAACGAATGTTGTGTTTTTAAAATACCAAGCATTTTTGCAGCTATTACTGACATCACTTTGTTTTGCAGCCCTACCTTTTAGCATAATTGTTAAAGGCTCGGCTCACAGGATGTTGGTTCACCACATGTCAGATCAGAAGACTGGTCTAAAAATGACTTCCCACTTTTAACAGTTTGAATATAACAACTTCTGTGAGATATAATCAAGTTCTGGTTTATTTTCAAGCTGACATTATTTAGAATGTCACCCACTTTACTGAAAATGAAACAAAAACAGTTAAAAGGAAAGATAATTATACTTGAATGGGTTTAGAGTTTAGTTAGTTATTCTGACCATGTTTTTGGATTATCTGCATGTTCTTGTCCCTCTGTTTTGACCTTGCTTGGGGTTCTGGTGATGATACGGACAGCTGAGTTCTGGACTAACTTAAGCTTACAGAGGCATTTATGAGTAAGACCAAAGAGAAGGGTGTTGCAGGAACCTAAACGAGATGTGACAAGGCTATGGACTAGAACAGCAGTGGTATATGGGGTAAGAGAAAGGTGGAGTCGGTTAATGTTGCGAAGGTGGAAGTGAGCAGACCAGGCGATGTCATTGATGTGAGAATCAAAAGATAGGGTGCTATCAAGGATGACACCCAGACTAATAACCTGTTTAAAGGGATAAATGGAACAGTCATCAATAGAAAGAGAAAAGCTGTCAGTTTTAGAGAGTGTTGATTTGGTAGCAACAAGCAAAACCTCAGTTTTTGCAGTATTTAATTTGAGAAAGTCAATATTTGATTTCCGCTAAGCAGACTGATAGGGATGAAGGTGAAAAATAAGAAGAGGGTTTGGCAGAGAGATGGGTGTCATCCGCATAGCAATGAAATGCTATGTTTTATTTATGGAGATTATTACCAAGTGGAAGGAGTTAGATGATACTGTAAAAGGCAGGGGCCCTAGGACTGAGCCCTGGGGTATACCTGAAGAAACTGTAAAATGCTGAGAAGTGAATTATTTGAGTTGAATAAGCTGTGGCCTGAGAGATAAGATTTGAACCAGTCAAGTGGGATATTGGTGATGCCAAGAGAAGATAGTCTATTGATTAGGTGCTGTGACAAATAGTGTCAAAGGCCGCACTTAGGTCGAGGAGAATGAGAATAGATATTAGCCCAGAATCAGCTGCCGTAGGAAGGTCATTAGTGATTTTAATAAGGGCAGTTTACGTGCTGTGAAGTGGGCAGAAACCAGACTGGAACTGTTCATACAGGTTGTTCTGAGATATGTGGGTTTGGAGTTCTGTTGCTACAATTCTTTTGAGGATTTTGGAAATATATGTTAAATTAGAAATAGGTCGTAAATTATTACATTTAGTTGGGTCTGAACCAGGTTTTTTGAGTATTGAGCTGCAGTTTTGAAGGTCCTTGATACCTAAAAATCCATGTAGTTTATTTGTTGTCTTTATTTTAGATTAGGTCACAAAACTAGATGAAGTTGAGTTAGTAAAGCATTTCTTAATATACATACTGTAGTAACCATTACCATATGCCTGAATAATAAGACATATTAATGTTGATTTCAATCGTTTATTAATCATTTACTAACTTATTCTGAATGATCCTAAAACCCCTCAACTCCTCTTAAATACAAATTGTTTGTAAATAATGCGATTCTTTATTTAGTAATGAAAAACTAATCATTAACTAACTATGAAAGTACAATTATGAAGCACATTTTAAATATGTTTGTAAGTCAAGAATAGAGAATGTGTAACTGCAGTTATAAACTGCTTACTAACGCTTATTAATGTTGAGATAATGCTTAACAGATAATGAATTCACTATTTGCTAATGCTTATTAAATGATTTACAGTGTGTAGTTATTATAAAGTGTTACCGAGATATTGTATCTCAATGGGAATTTCCTGTTTGGATAAATAAATAAATAAATAAATAAATAAATAAATAAATAAATAAATAAATAAATAAATAAATAAATAAATAAATAAATAAATAAATAAAGAATGGAGCCTCAAAAGTACATTTTGCATTTAGGACATTTGAATCCAAAACTATCAATAAAACAAAGAAAAGGGAAGTTCAGATAACACAATGCCTTCATCAACATTTTTGCTACAATGTTGCACATAACCACACCCTCACAGCTTCAAACAGAAATCAAAACAGTACATAGAACAACACAGTCAGTAATATAATAGTATACTTTACTGTTACTTTTTGTTTGCATTAAACACGCAGATCTACAAAATAAACTAAAAAACATTTTTGTGTTATAAAATTGCAAGCATGCTGTCTCTCTCACACACATAATTCATGAATAAAACACACAGGGTTCACTTAACATCCTTTACTTGCAAATTAGTGATTCCGAAAGATCAGTCAACCTGATCATTTATTCAGCTTTGTATTCGAAATGGAAGACACGACGTCAGTATTTCCTGTCAGGTTAACATTAAAAGTGGTTTCAACAGGAAGCTTTACTTGTTGCAGAGAACACACGCAACAGCTTTGTTCAGTGAAGCGTGAGCTTTGACTGCAGCCACAAATGGAACATTTTATAATCGTCCTTTTGACAGGTAGGAGGATATCTGATATGGATTAATGATTATAAATACAAAGAAAATACATACAAATCGTTGGTGTCTACAATGTTACTATATCTTTGTTTTACATTTTAGCAACAGTCTATACGCAAGTGACTGCTCAAAATACAAGTAAGTTATTGTTATACTAAAGGTGGCTTCTGGTTGCTTCTGTGAACTTCTAGTGTCTATTTTGTCAATGAATAACGTGTTTAATTTAGTTGTGTATCCAGCTCAATGGTAACACTTCACATTACGATGTCACTGATACACATTACTGCATAATGCTACTAATGCACAGGTAATCCTGAATCCTGAATTGATGGAAAACTAAAACATTTGTTAATGAAAATGTTATATGAATAATCAATTAAGCAACCAATAATGTAGTATTACCTAATAATGTATAGTGATGTGTTAATTACAATGGGTCGAATCCATGCAAGCAATTTCAGCGTTCACTTGTCTGCTTTAAGTAAGCATTAGCTAATGCTTTATATTTATTTTTATATCATGACTAACTAGTTCAAAATCCAGGTAACACTTTACAATAAGGTTCATTAGTTAATGCATTTACTAACATGAACTAATCATGAACAACACATCTACAGCATTTATTAATCATAACTGAACATTTACTAATGCATTATTAACATCCAAGTCCATGCTTGTTAACATTAGTTAATGCAGTTAACATGAACTCACAATGAACTACTGTATTTTCATTAACTAACATGAACAAATACAGTAGTAAATGTATTGTCCATTGTTTGTTCATCTTAGTAAATGCATTAATTAACATTAACTAATGAACCTTATTGTAAAGTGTGACCAAAATCCATAAGCACAATGGCACACTACTAAACAATGAATTGATTAATTAATCTATGAATCATGTAAAATGCTCATTTGATGCACTATTTATTCAGTTTTTCACACTGTCACACATTCATGTTTGATTATCTGTGCATTATTTAAGTACAATATTAGTGCACTCGTAATGTAAAGAGTCACCAGCCCATCTAACCTAAAGATTGTTCATTTCCTAGACCCTCCACTTTCGATTTCCAAGCCCAGCATAAGTCGTGATCCTTCCCACACAGTGCTGTACAGCTCAGAGACGGTCACTCTGCACTGTCAGGTTTCTAATGGACCACCGGCTTTACAGTATGACTGGTACAAGGACTCGACTGATCTTAATCATCATGAGGGCAGCTTCAGTGCAGAAACGAGTGGAATCTATGAATGCAAGGCGAAAAAGGAATCTTCGGAGTCTGATAAAAGTGATACTTACACATTAGATCTGCAAGGTAAATGAAAATCATATATCATTTTGGTATTATTTTTCAATAATAAATAATGCATGCGTGATTTCACTGTAGGCCAATATACCAGACATGTGTGCCAGGTTGTCTTAAGGATATCTTACTACATTTGAAAGATTGTAGCTCCAAAATGTTTGTAACTTGTAAATTTTACAACCCGGGCTCATTGTGGAAACGTAGTCCCGCGGACATTTCTGAAGACCGCGGAACACGTCCGGCGGGTACGTACGGCTGCAGTTTTTGTTTTTGCGAATCCGCGAGAGCCCGCTGTTGTGCGCTTTTTCGCACCTTAGACGCCTCTCGCGAGTTCGGTTCGCTCCCGCGCTGTTCTCGCGTGAATCCACCGGAGGCCGCTGTCCGACTGACTGGATGATTGACTGCGCAATCGGCCGACCCGCCCTCCTCCTTCCCCGAACCCAACCAATTTTACCGATCGACCCGCCCGCCCGCTTCCCTAAACCCGAGCAACAGTTTACAAAAGATGTCCAAAAAAATAAAAGCCCCGATTTTTTTTTTCTACCGTGTTTTTGGATTTCACCACGTTATCACCCTGTCACAAAACTTGTTCACTTAATTTTTGGGATTCGGTTTTTGTCTTACCTGATTGCTGGAACCGATCTTCCCCGGACTCGAAACCGGTCGCCGTGGTTGACTCCTCTCCGCATCTTGAGCCTGCCGACGTACACGGTGAGCTGAGTGAACAAACGGGTTGCAGCGGGGAAGCACTCCACAAGGAGGTAAGGCCAGCACGAAAGCGAACATCGTCACACCGCCCCGCAGCGTTTACTTGAAAAAAATAAACACGGCCGTACATACCCCCCAGGACGTATTCCACTGTCTCCAGAAACGTTCGCGGGACTACGTTTTCAGAATGAGCTTGGTTTGAAATTTCACGCTTTTAAGAGATGTTACTGTTTTTAGAGGTGAATGTAAACATCTGTGTCCGTTGCAAAGGCTTGCTTACAATATTTGCATAGGCTACTGGCCTTGGTGGCTACCTGCTATTAAACGCATCTTCGGTAATCTGATTGTAAGTGGTCATCCTAGATTCATTACTGTTTCCACCTGGTATTTTGAGAGGGGTCTGGATGCAGACCTGGTGCAGTGCAATCTGAGCTGCAGCCAATGCTTTTTAATGCTCTCACCTAACCCCACCCCTAAACCTACCCGTCACAATGACGTCACTCACTCTATTGAGTGCATTGTGTCTGAGATTGCATCGCTGAGTGATGCAATCCCAGCTTGCATCATAAAGGCTGCATCCAGATACTATTGGGTATTTTTATGTTCAGCTTTGTCTTTTGTGACCAATCGTCTTCAGATTTTACAACGTTTTCACAGCATGTAGCTGGTCTTTTTGACCACACAAGAACTTACAATATGAAAGTAATTCCTCAGGAAGTGATTAATAGTAGTTTTGTTGACCCTGTATACAACTTTCTTTAGTTATAATAATAATAACAACAACAGTAATTCCTTACATTTATATAGCGCTTTTGTGTACTCTCAAAGCACTTTTTCTTTTTTTTTTTGGGTGTGTGGGGGGGGGGGGGGGGGGGGGGTTCCTCATCGACCACCAGTGTGCAGCATCCACCTGGATGACGCGACGGCAGCTATATTGCGCCAGCCTGCCAACCACACACCAGCTAATTAGTGCAGAGGAGACGGAGTGATGAAGCCAATTAAGATATATGGATGGTTAGGCAGCCAGTGGCCACATTTGGCCAGGGTGAGGGGGGTTAAACCCCTACTCTTTTTTTAAAGGACATCCTGGGATTTATAATGATCACTGAGAGTCAGGACATTTGTCATCCAAATGACAAATTAAGACAGCGCTGACTGAGCAGTATAGAGTCCCCATCAATATACTGGGGTGTTAGGACCCACACAAACTGCAGGTTGAGAGGCCCCTGCTAGTCTCTCTAACACCACAGTGTTAGTGTCATTCACTTTTAATTAGATTGAATTAGATTGGGGCGTCACAATGGCACAGTGAGTAGCACAATCGCCTTAGGTCACTGATCCAAGCCCCAGCTGGGTCAGTTGGCATTTCTGTGTGGGGTTTGCATGTTCTCCCCGTGTTCACGTGGGTTTCCTCTGGGTGCTCTGGGTTTTCCCCACAGTCCAAAGACATGCGCTTTAGGTAATATGAATAAGCTAATATAATAATAACCAACACAATGTGTTTGAAATTAAATGAACAAGATGTGCTTTAACCACAGACTGTGAGTTTTAATTTGAGGGTATTTACATCCAAATCAGGTGAACGCTGTAGGAATTACAACAGTTTTCATATATGCCTCCCACTTGTTAAGGGTCCAAAATTAATTGGAGAATTGACTTTTAAAGCTGTGGTCACACTGGGCTTTTCCTCCAGTATACTTCCATTCATACACACGCGAATACGTCAGACCGGAAACGCAAGGTCATGCTTAAAGTTTCCAGGTTGCTGCAGTGCAAAGTTCAAGCTTGGTGAACTCTGACCAGCGAAATCACAATCACGCAAGCTCAAACTGTAGTGTGTCCGCAGCTTAATCTGTAGTGACGACAATGAGCCAGCACTGGCAGTTTAAAAATGAGTTTCAGTCAGCCAAAGTGGCTAGTGTCTAACCTGTCACAACCGAAATCTACCTGCATTTGGCGGGTTGGCGGATGTTAAAGTAGAGCCCTGACTGTGAGGATTTGTAAGACATTTGCTGTCTAATCGAGGAACATCTTTCCTATTTTGCTGGTGTTTCTTGTAAGTACATGTGTTTTTTTTCACATGTGTTCATTTTAATTGCAGTGTGTTAAGCTTTATCAGCCACCTTTCTAATTACCTCAAAAGACAAATGTGTGACATATGTTAGTCTAAGGCTTATTTAAAAATTGCCAGCTTATTTCAAAGTTCTGAACTATACGTTTTTATTGCAGAGTAACTTCTTGTGTATGTACATTTCAAGACCATTTTGCTTTTCCATGTCCATGACTCTGTGTGGCTGTGTTGGATATTGTTTTTAAAATGTTTCTGTTTACCATATGTAGCCATCCCAACACCAACGCTGTCTAAACCAACATACACAGAAGTCTACACATCTGAAACGGTCAGTCTGAAGTGTGAGATTCAAGGCCGCACAGAGTCCTGGACTTATCAATGGTTAAAGAGTGGAGAGAAGCTACAAGAAACTACATCCCAATTAGTTATCCAGTCAGCAAAAACTGATCATTCTGGAGATTATAAATGCAAAGGAATTCTTCAAGGGAGAGTAGAGACTTCAGACAGTAATTCTGTTAAAGTTAACATTCACGGTAAGCATTCTACCTTATTAAAATCCTTAATTTTGTGTTATTAATTATTCAGATGTGACTAAAAACAACTATTTATTTATAAATATTTTAATTTTAATTATCTGTTTACCATATGTAGCCATCCCAACACCAACGCTGTCTAAACCAACAAACAAAGAAGTCTACACAACTGAAAAGGTCAGTCTGAAGTGTGAGATTCAAGGCCGCACAGAGTCCTGGACTTATCAATGGTTTAAAGGTGGAGAGAAGCTACAAGAAACTACATCCAAATTAGATATCCAGTCAGCAAAAACTGATCATTCTGGAGATTATAAATGCAAAGGAAATCTTCAAGGGAGAGTAGAAACTTCAGACAGTAATTCTGTTAGAGTTAACATTCACAGTAAGCATTCTACATTATATTAATCCTTAAATTGTGTTAACTATTAATTATTCAGATGTGACTAAAAACAACTATTCATTTATAAATATTCTAATTTTAATTATGTTTACCATATGTAGCCATCCCAACACCAATGCTGTCTAAACCAACATACACAGAACTCTACACAACTGAAAAGGTCAGACTGAAGTGTGAGATTCAAGGCAGCACAGAGCACTGGAATTATCAATGGTTTAAAGGTGGAGAGAAGCTACAAGAAACTACATCCAAATTAGATATCCAGTCGGCAAAAACTGATCATTCTGGAACTTATAAATGCAAAGGAAATCTTCAAGGGAGAGTAGAGACTTCAGACAGTAATTCTGTTACAGTTAACATTAATGGTAAGCATTCTACCTTATTTAAATCTTAATTTTGGGTTGATAATTATTCAGATTTGATTAAAAACAATTATTAACTCATAAATATTCTAATTTTATTATTTGTTAACCATATGTAGCCATCCCAACACCAACGCTGTCTAAACCAACATACACAGAAGTCTACACATCCGAAACGGTCAGTCTGAAGTGTGAAATTCCAGGCCGCACAGAGCACTGGAATTATCAATGGTTTAAAGGTGAAGAGAAGCTACAAGAAGCTAAATCACAATTAGATATCCGATCTGCAACAAAAGATGATTCTGGAGTTTATAAATGCAAAGGAATTCTTCAGGGGAGAGTAGAAACTCCAGAGAGTGATTCTGTTACAATCAACATTCATGGTAAGCTATAGCGCTCTACCTTTTATTTTAACCCTGTTAATTGTGTTGAGCTAAAAACAAAATGATACAGATGTGATGAAATGAAAATTCTTAAAATATAACCATGCTTAACGTATAAATTCTACAAACGTAGTGTCTGGGAATTACTTCTTTGTATGTACTGATTTAATTTGCAACCATCAAACAAGGATACACTCAGTTTCTTAGCAGTGTTAAATGGCTGATTTGATGAAACGTAATAAACATGTATGTCTTTGGAGAAGAAAATGAATCTTTTAGTTCAAGGAATATGTAAAAGTTGCCAGCTTATTTACAACTGTGTCATGGACTTTGTAAAGAAAGAGTAGAAACTCCACTCAGTGATAGTTAAAACTGATGGTCTTAGTAAGCTTAAGCACTCTGTAGCACACTGGTGGCAGCAATTGGCATGTGAATTTATATTGCTTCAAATGTTCTTGATCAGAAAAACAAGAATTTCAACATGATTGGGTGGGATTTGCCACCATATTTTATTTATGGCACCTGTGTAACTTACTCAGTTGAAAGTCTTTACTGAATATAGTGCATCCAGAAAGTATTCACAGCGCTTTACTTTTTCCAATTTTTTTGTTACAGCCTTATTCCAAAATTGATTAAATTCATTTATTCATTCATTCATTTTCTTTTTCGGCTTAGTCCCTTTATTAATCTGGGGTTACCACAGCAGAATGAACCACCAACTTATCCAGCATATGCTGTAAGCTGCGGATGCCCTTCCAGCTGCAACCCATCTCTGGAAAAATAAATTAATTTATTTCTTCAAAATTCTATACACATATACCCCATAATGACAATGTTAAAACAACATTTGTTTGAAATTGTTGCAAATTTATTAAAAATAAAAAAATCTGAAAAATCACATGTACATAAGTATTCACAGCTCAGATCCATTCTGTTTCCTCTGATCATTCTTGAGATGTTTCAGCAGCAGTAAATTCAGTTGATTGGACATGATTTGAAAAGGCAAACACCTGTCTATAAGTTCCCAGAGTTGACAGTGCATGTCAAAGCTCAAACCAAGCATGAAGACAAAGGGATTGTCTGTAGATCTGCGAGACGGGATTGTCTCAAGGCACAAGGCTGGGGAAGGTTACAGAAAAAATTCTGCTGCTCTGAAAGTTCCAATGAGCACAGTGGCCTCCATCATCCGTAAGTGGAAGATGTTTATAACCACCAGGACTCTTGCTAGTGCTGGTCGGCCATCTAAGCTGAGTGATCAGGGGAGAATGGCCTTAGTCAGGGGGGGGGGTGATCAATAACCCAATGGCCAGACTGTCTGAGCTCCAGCATTCTTCTGTGGAGAGAGGAGAACCCTACAGAAGGGCAACCATCTGTGCAGCCAAAAGATACAACCATAAGACTCTCAGACCATAAGATATAAAATTCTCTGGTCTGATGAGCCTAAAATTGAACTCTTTGGAGTGAATGCCAGGCATTACATTTAGAGAAAACCAGGCACCAGGGATGTCTTTCAGCAGCAGGAACTGGAAGACTAGTCAGGATAGAGCGGAATTTGAATGCGGCAATGTACAGAGACATCCTGAATGAAAACTTTCTTCAGAGTGCTCTTGATCTCAGACTGGGGCGACGGTTCATTTTCCAGCAGCACAATGATCCAAAGCTCACCACCAAAGGTGCATCAACAAAGTATTAAGCAAAGGCTGTGAATACTTATGTAGATTAGATGATTCAACTTTATTGTCATTACACATGTACAAGTACAATGCAACAAAATGCAGTTTAGGTCTAACCAGCAGTGCAATAGCAGCAAGTGCAGGATACAGGAATAAGTTATAAAGTGCAGTTATAGAAAACTATGGTGATATTTACAGATGGGATGGATGTACTATGAACATTATATACAGGTTGGATAAGCTATGAACAGATTTACAATATATGAATATATGTGCAGGTTGCTATTAATATTCAGTAGTGTGCAGATAGATAAACATGATTACAAGTGTATATGTTACAATATATGAATATATGTACAGGGATAGATGAACATGATTACCAGTGTATATGTAACAATATATGAATATATGTGCAGGTTGCTATTAATATTAATATTAATAGCAATGTAATGTACATGTGATTTTTCAGTTTTTTATTATTATTATTTTTTTTATGTGACAGTTTAAAATATCCCATTGTCCTTTAGGGGCATTGTGTGTAGAATTTTGAGGACATAAATGAATTTACTTCATTTTGTATTAAGGCTGTAACAAAAAAAAAAAAAATGTGGAAAAGTAAAGCGCTGTGAATACTTGATGCACTGTAAACTGCCAATGATTTGAATAAATGCTTAAAGTTACCTTTTGGCTTGCTTCAGCGCAACATCTGTGTTAGAAACAAATACAAGACACACATACACATGTTAGCAGTGTAATTTCTATGAATAACAGCTGGTGGCCCACTTGCAATACCATTACAGCCCACTAGGTGATCCACATCCCACATGTTGAGAACCATTAATCTAGACCAGGGGTGCCCAAACTCATTCCTGGAGGGCTGGTGTCCTGCAAAGTTTTAGCTCCAATTACAATTAGACACACTTGTACTAGCTAATCAGTCTCTAATGAGCACTGCCTCGCATGGTTCAGGATTGGTAGAGTTACGCATCGATGAATTGGCTCTTCAGTGTTTGAACTCTCAGTAATGATTAAATCACACTGAACTGAGCTAAACTGAACTGAACTGAACTTAAACACTAAAACCTGAACCACACTGTTCCAGCTACTATGACCATTTATGTGAAGCTGCTTTGACACAATCTCCATTGTAAAAGCGCTATACAAATAAAGCTAAATTGAATTGAATTGAATAATAGAAACTTCATTAGTTGTGTAGAGTCAAGTTTAAGCTAAATTCTGCAGAATCCCAGCCCTCAAGGACTGAGTTTGCGCACCCTTAACCTAAGACATCAAGTCAGAAAATGTCCAGTTCTGTTATATTGTTCCTCTGTTTATCTGTGCAGAACCACCTCAACCGAAATTGTCAATTGAGTCTGAATGGAAATCCTTTTACCAAACTGAAAAAGTGACTCTGAAGTGTTCAGTTGATGGAGATTCAAATGAATGGAGCTATGAATGGCTCAAAGATGCAACGCAGCTTCCTAAAGATAAAGACGATGTTTCTTTATCTGGTAAAACACTCACAATAAGCTCAGCAAAAGCGATTCATTCAGGATTCTACACCTGCAAAGGAATACATCAGACGAGAAAACCAGTGACTACGATAGAAAGTGAAAAACTGCAGCTTCAAGTTGCAGGCAAGTAAAACTGATCAATCAATAATAAATTTAAAAAACTGTACTTGCAAGCACTGTCATTTGGTCACTGACAAAGATATTGCATTGTCTTTCACCGGTCTATAGTGCTTCTTGTTGGTTTCCCATCTGCTCCAGCTTACAGTACCAGATATCATTGGCCACAATAATTCACTTTATTTCCTTTATCTCTAATTCTGCCACTGTAAATCTTAGGTGTGACACCAAAACCAGACATCAGAAAAAATCAATGGTTTAAGCCCTTCTACACCGGAGAAGAAATCCAGCTTGACTGTAGTATGAATGGTACTGGTTGGAAGTACAGCTGGCATAATGTCAAAGAATCAAAGCAAATGAACACAAATTCAGCCTTGACTATCGGCTCAGCATCAGTCTCTGACACCAGTGGATATCTCTGCAAAGCAAAGAGAGGAGACTTCTCAGTTAACAGTGAGACGTTAGATGTGGAAGTTCTACGTGAGTACTGTATTTTCACTGTTCATTTACTAAGTATGAAATGCCTCAGACAAGTTCCTTTAAAACTATCACTTGATGTAAGTTGCTTTGGAACAATCTGAAACTGTGTTATTGTAAATGACAGACTCAAGAGTGTTAGGTACCTTTTTATATTATTAATGAACAATAATCTATTAAGCTATGCATAACAACATGTAATTACATGACCGAATTAGGTTTATTCAGTAGCTCCTTGTTGTTCAGTTGCATGCACAGTGTTCTATGACTGAAATACATTTTTACTTGTAAATATTTTAGAAGTTATTTTTGTGTCAAGCAGTCATACCAATAAATGTTAACGAATCATCCTTTTTAGCTGGTTCTTTATTTTCCTGAACTGTCCAAAATGTCCCTGAATTTAGATTTATGCATCGTCTGAAAGCAGAATAAATATTCTTTCCATTGATGTACTGTATGGATTGTTTGGATAGGACAATATTTGAGATTTAGATGAGACAACAATCTGAAAATCTTGAATCTGGCTTTAAAAAGCTCTAAATATGAGCATGTAATAATCAGGAATACAGTTGAAGTCAGAATTATTAGCCCTTCTGTTAAATTTGAATTCTTTTACATTTTCTTCAAAATTCTGTTTAATGGAGATGTTTTTTTTTTTTTTTTTGTCATTTCGTTCCATTTTTCCTGCAAACAAGTCCTAAGTGGGCAAAAGTACCCGGTCTTTGTTGTCACATTTTGTTGCCTCAAAATGAGCCACAGATTCTCTATTGGAGACAGGTCGGGACTGCAGACAGGCCTGTAAAGTACCTGTATCCTCTTTCTCTGCAGCCAGAACTGTGTAATCTGTGCAGAATGTGGTTTTGCATTGTCTTGTTGAAATATGCATGGGCTTCCCTGGAAAAAATATTGTGCTCCAAAATCTCTATGTACTTTTCAACATTAATGGTGCCATCACAGAAGTGCAAGGGCACTGACACAACCCCATACCATGACAGACTCTGGCTTTTGTACTTGTTGCTGGTAACAGTCTGGATGATCTTTTTCTTTTTTGGTCTGGAGCACATGGCATCCATTTTTCCCCACAAAATACTTGAAATGCTGATTCATCTGACCACAGTACATGTTTTCACTGTTTGATGGTCAATCCCAGATGCCTCCAAGCCCAGCAAAGTCGACATCTTCTCTAGACACTGTTAACATAGGGCATCCTTATGGCACAGTACTGTTTTAACTGGCATTTGTGGATGTAATTGCCTATTGAGCTACATGATAAAGGTTTGCCAAAGTAGTGTTGAGCCCATAGAGTGATCAGGGGTGTCCAAACTCTGTCCTGGAGGGCCGGTGTCCTGCAGATCTTAGCTCCAACTTGCTTCAACACACCCGCAAGGGTGTTTCTAGACTGCCTAGTAAGAGCTTGATTAGCTAGGCCAGCTGTGTCTGATTGGGGTTGGAAGTAAACTATAGGACACTGACCTTCCAGGACCGAGTCTGGGCATCCCTGTTTTAGATGAATGAGGATTCTTGATGCAGTGCCGCCTAATGGATCAGATGTCATGGTTGTTTAGCTTAGGCTTGCATCCTTGTTCTTTACGCACTGACATTTCTCTAGATTTCTTGAAACTTTTAATGATGTTATGCACTGTTGAAGGTGAAATATCCAAAGGTCTTCCTATCTTTCTTTGAGGAACATTACAATAATTGTCTTATGCATTTGTTGGCAAACTGGCGATTCTTGGCCCAGCTTTACTCCTAAAGGACTAGAGCTTTATTGGATGCAGCTTTTGTACCAAAGCATAATTACACCTGTTGTTTACACTAATAATTATCATCTGTTGACATCACCTGTTTTAAATCACTAAATTATTTAACTAATTTACCTGACTACTATCCCTAAATTGCTTCAGTCCCTACTTTTTTTTTTTTGGAATGTGTTGCAGGTCTGAATGACAGAAAAGGATGTATATTTACAAATAAAATTAAGGTTGTAATTTAATAATGTCCTAATTTGAGACTGATGGAAAGCAGAATATTATAGGATGCCTTTTTGCACAGATATGTGTGTTTTATAGTGGACCTGAGAGTAAAAATCATTCAAAGTGTTTTGTGTTGTCAACTTTACAGTGTAGCCTCTGACAGGCATTTTCAGTTTAGAATTGTATTGCTGCGTATTATCCAGCAGAACTATTTTTAATCAATATCTAAACATCACTAAAAACAAAACCACCATTAGGGTAATATGTCAAGTTGGAAAGCCATCAGATTTTCACATCACTCCTAAACAACGTCATTACTCCAGTATTTAATACATCTTTTGGTTAACATAACCACTTGTTTAGTAACGCCTTCATTGCGCTCATATTTATTGCTACTGTAGCTGATGATTACATCTGAAGAGCTGATTTTTTAACATTAGAATGTATTTAATAGAACTATTAATTTGCAGTGGCACAGTAGGTAGTGCTGTCACCTCACAGCAAGATGGTGACTGGTTCAAGCCTTGGCTGGGTCATTTGGTGTTTCTCCGCATTTGGTTTCCCCCACAGCCCAAACCCATGTGGTACAGGTGAATTGGGTAGGCTAAATTGTCTTTAGTGTATGGATGTTTCCCAGAGATGGGATTCAGCTGGTAGGGCATCCACTGCGTTGGTGGTTTATTCTGCTGTGGCGACCCCTGATTAATAAGCCGAAAAGAAATTGAATGAATGATTGAACTATTAAATGTTGGTTTTGCAATACACATTAAAAAATAACAGTAAAATATGATAATAATAATAATAATAATAATAATAATAATAATAATAATAATAATAATAATAGTAAATGTCATCTGTGAATGTCTTTGATGACATTCTGCAAATGCTTCTGAGTTCACTTTTCACATTAGGATGGGTATTATCTCACCGTTCTTCTGTTTATCTTTGCAGAACCACCTCAGCCAAAACTGTCAATAGGGTCTGAATGGAAATCCTTTTACCAAACTGAAAAAGTCACTCTGAAGTGTTCAGTTGACAAAGATTCAGGTGAATGGGGCTATGAATGGCAGTATCCGAACGAAGAAGACATTTCTTTATCTGGTAACACTCTTTCAATCAGCTCAGCAAACGTGAATCATTCAGGAGTGTACAGCTGTGTAAGAAAACATCTGACGAGAAAATCAGTGACTGAAAGAAAAAGTGAAGAGTTGAAGCTTCATATTAATGGCAAGTACAGAAAATCTACTTTTGCATATGATATTCTGTGATATATAAGTAAATTGTATGAAGTGTTCTTTAACAAAGATGTTGCATTTGCAATGGCTTGTGCCTTGTACTCAACCGATATATCGTCATGGTAGATATTACGTCTATTATTTGTCATTTTTCTAATATTGGAATAGTCTAATATGTTTTTATATTTGGCTGATGAGTTTGAGGTGAGAATTTAATTTTGATGCTGAGAGTGGGCAGCGTCTAAACACAATGTGCTCACATTCTCTCTTTTGCTTGCCGTCATCTTTCAGATATGTGTAATATGGATAGAAGTCTGTTTAAATAGTTATAATTATTATATAAATTCATAAAAATGTATACAAAAGTATTATAACCATTGCTTTTAATAGTAATAAAGGTGAACAATACTTTATCATTCCATAGTTTTTAAATATTCTGTGCTTTATGCATTTGCCCACTCTCATATTCATGTCATTTTTGTCATGTGCTGTGTATAAAATAGGCGCTGAACAACTTTTGTTACTGTAATAAATACGCTGACAGAGATGGATCCATATGCAGTGCGTTTAATAAACAACTGCACAAAAAAAAAAATAAAAGAAAATTACAGACCTGTCAGCTATTACTGATCTCACAGTGCACTCATAGCATGCCCAAATGTGGTGGCTCAGACAGTGAATTACTTTATTATACTGTAAATATACCATAAACATGCAAACAAAATGAACAGCATGCAATTTAATTTTAAACGACTGTGGTGGCTCATATTACTTTACAAATTGCATTAGTTTTACTAACAAAAACTTGGGCTAATGTTTGGTTATCATAATGTGTATATATATATATAGTTATATATTTTTATTTCTTTTTTTATGTTATAGGATAATGCAAAAAAACATCCACGTTCAAATGATTTTAAAAGTAATTACGTTTTAATCGAATTCCAATTTAATTATAAAATAAATAAAAATGGCATCAGGGAAAACACAGTGGCTCAGTCGCCTCACAGCCAGAAGGTCATTGGTTTGAGTACCATCTGGGCCAGTTGGCATTTCTGTGTGGAGTTTGAATTCAATAGCCCAAATTGGATGTCGTGTATGTGTGTGAATGAGTGTGTATGGATGTTTCCCAGTACTGGGTTGCAGCTGAAAAAGCATCCACTGTGTAAAATATGTGCTGGGTAAGTTGGCGGTTCACTCCGCTGTGGCAATCCCTTATAAATAAAGGGACTCAGTCGAAAAAAAATAAATGAACTAATGAAAATGTTGGCCATTGGTCACCCTGCTTTCAAAGATATTGGCATCACCCTTCAAAAACCCATATCGGTCGACCACTACTTGCATCATATGGTTCATGTCAGTTTCCTATCTACTCCTGGGCTTTCAATGCCAAATATCATCAGCACAATAATTCACTTATTCTCAGGAAATATGCTGCAAATGCACATCAAAGGTTTATGCAATCTGAAAAGTACCTTTTAACTCTAATTCTGTCACTGTAAATCTTAGGTACGACACCAAAACTAAACATCATAAAACATCAGTGGTTCAAGCCCTTCTACACTGGGGAGAAAATCCAGCTTGACTGTAATATGACTGGTGTTGGTTGGAAGTACAGCTGGTATAAAGTCACAGATTCAAAGCAAATAAATACCAATTCCTTGGCTATCAGCTCAGCATCAGTCTCTGACACAAGTGGATATCTCTGCAAAGCAAAGAGAGGAGACTTCTCAGTGGACAGTGAGACGCTAGAAGTGCAAGTTCAAAGTGAGTCCACAATTTACTTCATGTTCATTTTTTTTGTGGAATATTCTTTCCACTGTTTGTTCATTAACTTTCCAACATCTCATCCCAGGAAATGCATGAATTGATAAAATACGTCTACATGCCCAATAATTGTTTTAGAAGAGATTTCTGAATGTGCAAATGCAAAAGAAAAAGCTAAAAAATTAGATTATTTTTTCCCCTCATACTAAATGATTTTTTAAACAAGAAACAGTCAAGCCACACATCTAATAATCCTTTTTTATTCATTTGACTGCATTCAACTTGGGATTTTGGTTAATTTTCTCCTTTTTACCCTTTAGAGCGACCTGGACCACACATCCAGTCAGAATGGGCTGAAGCATATATTGGTGAAAAAATGTCTATGCAATGTTTGAATGTACCGTCTATGAATGAATTGGAAAACTGGAGCTTTAGGTGGTTCAAGGGTTCAAAGGAAATTGTATCCAATGATGGGACATACATAAAAGGAAACACTCTCACACTCTCAGTTCAGTCCAGTCATGGCGGGGAATATGAATGCCAAGCTAAGCTGAAGGATAGGCCGGTGGAAACTGCAAAAAGCAAAACACAACAGTTAACAGTTCATGGTAGGTGTTGTTATTGAAAAATCTGTTTAAGTTAAAAGCAGCATCTCATTGCTAAAACTAACAATCTGTTATATTAACATGAAAACAATGTTATTTTTATAATTATTTCAAACACATTTTTCTGTAATTCATTTCTTCAGATTTATCAAAATGTCAAAATGCAATGCTGCTTGTTTATTTTCCCCTGATATTATTAATAATTATTTAATTTTTGAGTGAAGCTTTTAAAGAGGATCCAGAGAGCTGGCTTTATAAAGAACTATTTAAAAAAGTAAAATAACACTTTGCTTTAAGCTCTTTCAGTTCCCAAACTGGAATTTACGACTAAACTGGATGACATCATGAAGGGTGAAATGACCCTCAAGTGTGAGATCTCCGATGGCAGAGAGTGGAACTACACCTGGTATGAGAATGAAAAGATGCTCAATTTCTCAGAATCAGAAACACTGACAGTGTTAGGAACCGAAGAAAGAATTAAAAGTGAGTTCAAATGCAAAGGAGTAAGGACGGAGAGACCACATTTCACTGCTGAAAGTAATGTCCTTGTGGCCAATAATTTAAGTGAGTTATGGGAATATTTGCTAAGTATTTTTATTATATTTATTATTGTCAATGCTCTTTCATACAGCATATAGTACTGAATTATTGGTGTAAAAAGCCATAAGAATGAATCAATCGAAATAATCATAAAAAATGTGATAATTTATGCTTAAAAAATAAAAAATAAAACCTTAAAATGTGTTTAAGCCTAAATTCAGCCGATTAGGCTATGTTTAGACCAATTGAAGGAATTTTTTATGTGCCTTTAGTAATTTTTTAATGTATTGATTGTGAGCTTGTGTGAAAGTGTGCTTATTTTATAAAATGTTTAAAGGAAACGTTTATTTAACAGCATACTGTAGGTAAATCTAATTGTATGCCTTTCTCTCATTAATACAGTATTCAAGAGACAAATACTGCTGGCCATCTCTGGATGTCTTGTCTGCTGTATTTTAATCCTGATCCTTGGATGCATTGCTCTGAAATTTATGCGTAAACCAGGTACAAATAAAAAAATAACACATTTCCTTCTGAATTTAGGCTTATTAAAAGGATAATCCACAGCCAAAAATGATAGTTTGCTGTTAAATTACTCAGCCTTCTGTCCAAGGGTGGATTGGCCATGTGGCAAGGTTTTTAATTTTTATTTCTTTTCCTAAAATGTATTGTTTTTACATGCAGGCAGCTTTTATCTCTTGTGGGATGTGAATATTATAATGATTATGATGATGATGATAATAATAATAATTCATTTTCTTGTCGGCTTAGTCCCTATATTAATCTGGGGTCACCACAGCGGAATAAACTGCCAACTTATCTAGCACATTTTTACGCAGCGGATGCCCTTCCAGCCGCAACCCACCTCTGGGAAACATCCACAAACACTCATTCACACACACTCATACACTACGGACAATTTAGTCTACCCAATTCACCTGTACTGCATGTCTTTGGGCTGTGGGGGAAACCGGAGCACCCGGAGGAAACCCACGCGAAGGCAGGGAGAACATGCGGTACATCAAACACACCTGAACCAATTAATTTGGATCTGAACACCACGTGATAATTACAGGCAGGTGTGATTGATATGGGTTGCAACTGAAATCTGCAGGAAGGTGGCTTTCCGGGAACAGGGTTGGCCACCCCTGATCTACAACTTATCTGAATTCCCAATTAGAAAAACACTACAAATTATAAAATACTATTTATGAAAATACTTACATACAAGACAAATCCAAATGCCCAACACAAAGGAGTAGCGATCCAGAACAGTTCAGCTCAGTCACATATAATGTCTTCGACACCGCCTGTAGTCTCATTATGGAACTTGATGACAACCGTCCTTTTAAAGAAGCGTAACCGAATGAAAAAATCAAGAGTGTGCTGTAACTGCTGTGTTTTATGTCATAGAATAAAACGTGAAGTATCTTGAGTTTGTGGAAGCCACAAACCTTAAGTGATTTAACTGAAATCCCATTGAAAAAAAACATAGACTTTGGGACGAGGGAACCGAAACTGCTAAAACGCTAACTTGCTTCCGGGTTTTTGTGTACAAACCATTGATGTTCCTCCACTCTATATATGACATTTTCTGTCCACACATACAGTGGTATAAAAAAAGTGTTTCTCCTCTGTGATTTTTTAAATTTTTCTTTAACGTTTCAGATCATCTAACAAATAAAAAGTGTTAGTCAAGGATACCACAAGTAAAAACACCATGTTGTTTTGAAATGAAGGTTTTTATTATTAATAAAAACAAAATACAAAACTTCATAGCCCCGTGTGAAAAAAAAGAGTATGCCTCATTTTAACTCGTTGGGCAACCCTATTAAATGAAGGACTCTTCTGTGCTTTCGCTTTGTTTAGGCATGAAAACACTTTAAAAATAAATATAAAAATTTGGGATTCCCTTTCCTTTTTATTACAGATGTCGTCTCCCCTTCATTTGTAATCCTCAAAACAGTCACATAGCACTTCATGACTGTCAGTTGATGCGATCCATAGTGATAAATAGACGCTGCTTCTCAAACTGATTCTGTACACGCGATTTGAAGCGGAGCGAAAGCCTGTTTTTTTTTTTTTTTTTTTTTTTTTTACCTGTGTGTTTGAACAGACATATACACTGTTATTATAATAACATATTATAATAACACTATTATTAATAATAACATCTAAAGATGTCGATCTTGTTTTTTTTTTCTTGTTTTTTTTAAACACAACTAATTTCGTCCTAAATGAGCGTTAATAACGTTGTATGCATTTGTAAAGTGACACCTCTATTATTTAATGTAATCAAATGAAAAAATCGTACTAAATAAGAGATTCATTTATTGCTCTTTAATCAGAATATGTAAGTTATACAGTGAAGAAACGGCTAATGAGATTTGAAAACTTGATTCTATTTCATTATAATAGCTATTAGTTTTAATAAGCTGAACTGTTTGTTAATGTATTTGCTGCTAATGTATACTATTTATTGTTTTCTTTTGTAAATAATAATAATAATAATAAAACATATTACTGACCATTTAACTGTTTGTTTACAATGAAACAGCTCCAAATGAGTAATTTGGGGGTGACCCTTATTATGGTGGGTATATCCCTTATATTCACATCCCAATGTTGACAGGTATATCAAAACATGTCTTTTTCACCAAAGGCAGATACTGATAAGATGAGAGCCTGGTGTGTGGACTTTGAGGGTTTTACGATGTGGTCACATGTTGATTGGTCAGTTTAAATGTCTTAGTATTTGGGCTTTGGTCACATGGTCAAGAAAGATACAGAATATATATGTTAAACTTGGCTCTGTCTCTTTTCCCGCTTTGCTCCTCTCCTGCTCTGGAGTCTATTTTCTCCGACTCTACTGTTATCAGGCTTTCTTTAAAGGCATACTTACTCTCTTTGTCTCTCTCTCCCTCTCCTTGTCTCTCCTTCTCACTTTGGTAACTTTGTTTTACATTTAAGCTGGGTACAATTATTATCACATGTTTTAATCATTTTATATTTTATCATTTTATACAGTTATTTATAACTAATTCAGTTGTAACCATAAATAAATATTGTCATTAAATCAGGTTATTTTCAAGTATTTGTAAATTATTTTTGATGTAACATCAACACTTAATTGCTCCATATTGCAATACAATGCAATCACACAATAGCATTGCTCTCCCACAGCTATTATTACTGCCCTTATTTCGGTTTTTGGTATAAGATTGCAGAAGGATGGTTTGACTAGAAATGTACAGTTTTTTACCATCATACAGATAACTTTTAGTCATTTGGCAAAAAAAAAAAAAAAAAAAAAAAAAAAAAAAAAAAAAAAAAAAAAAACATTCTTACACATGCTAACTGAACTGCTCTATAATGAACGAACAGAACTCTCAAACTCCGGCACAACAGATTTTGTGAGGGTACAAAAAAGATGTGGCTCACACTAGCCCGGCAGTTATACAACTTCTGTTTCATCAAGAGGGTATTCATTTTGTTTTGTCTGTTTCTGTTTCTTATTTTTTGTTTTGTTTGTTAGCCAAAATGTAAACATGACTGCATTTGACACATTAAACATGTGTTTTTTAATTACATTTTAATAACACTTTGCATGTTGTTTTTCTTTATCTTTTCTTCTTTTCAGTAGAGAAAAAAGATCCCACAGAAAATGACTTGTTTTTCAAAATGACAGACTCCAATAACCGTAAGTCTTACTCACTTTCTCTCTCTCTCTCTCTCTCTCTCTCTCTCTCTCTCTCTCTCTCTCTCTCTCTCTCTCTCTCAACTGTGTCTGTGTGTGTGTACTAATTGAATGTCTACCAATAGAGTTTAAGAATGTAAATGACACAAACTGGGGGAACTTATTTGTGTAAATGAGTCCCATTTAATGCATTTACACACATTTAGTGACCAGGTGAAATTTGTTGCTAGGTGCTTTTTGAAAAAAAAAAAAAAAAAAGCTGCTAGGGTAGTATGAAAAGTTGCTAAATCTAGCAACAAAATTGCTAAGTTGTCAACACTGTGCGTATGTGTACATGTGTGTTGTGTGTGTGTGTGTGTGTGTGTGTGTGTGTGTGTGTGTGTGTGTGTGTGTGTGTGTGTGTGTGTGTGTGTGTGTGTGTGTAAAATGTCTCAACATTTACATTTATGTGACTCTTTCTCTGCAGAAACAGCTACACCCTTAAAGGAGTACATGGACAACACAGCAATAGAGATTGCAGGTATGTTCCTATCACTGTGTTTGACTGACAATGTTATAAAAGGAACACCAATACAGTATACTTTGTAATAAAACATGTGTGAAGGACATCTGGAATGTCGCATAAATTAGATTAGTAATAAAATGATGATTCGGTGATTTTAAAATAAAAATAAATCACCACAGTGTCTTTGTTGTTATTCAGAATGTAAAGAAATAGAAGAACTGCTCACTAATGGTGCTTCAGTCACTCAAGAGGGCGATGCGATTAAAGGTAAGAGATCGTACAAACATCTGTCACATTTTAAATAAGAAACTAAATATTTCATTGTACTGTATTACACAGTAGAAAAAGATTGTAAATGAGCAGTGTTCCATATTTTGTGATATCTGTTTTTTTTTTCAGTTTATTTATGCCTTTGATTTCTATTATGGGACCTTGATCTTTCTTCCAGCAACTTTTAACCTTGAAAAGTTAGAAAAAGTGACTTTTATTAACATTTTGAATAGTCAAAAGCGATCTATTGTCTGTGTTGGTGATGTATATTATGATACAAAACATTGTAATACAATTTTACAGACTAATTGCTCTATAAACTATTTCCTATATTGTATTGTTTCAAACTACTAAAATGTCAACAAAAGTGTAGTTTGTTAAAATGTAGTTGAATTTTTAATCGCAAAAGTCTGCAGAGCATAGATCAAAGTACCATAATCAAATTCACAACAATGAGTACACATAAAAAACTTGTGAATCACAAGTACAGTAGCTGTTACCGTACAGATATTTTTTTTTTACAGTGTACTAAACTGTACTTTACTCTATAAGAAAAGAAGCAGTTTTGATTCCCTAATGAGCCTTTTAAATCAACATTTGTGATCTTGAATCACAAAACCATTTATAAGTTTGAAAACTGGGATTTATGCATTTATGAATAAGTATGTTGTTTTCGTTGTGCATGTTGCCCATGGGGTGTATTTTTCAGAACACACATCTCTTTTCATTGTTATGTGGATGATGTTCAAATCTATCTACACAGAGTCTCAGTCCAGTCTTTACTCAGTTGTTTGAGAAACTTAAGGAATGGTTAGATCAGATTTTTTTTTTTATGTTTTAATGAGAAAAAGACAAAAGCTGTTGTGTTTGGACATCCTGGGTATTTTAGTGCATGCATTGGTGTTCATGGTTTCATGTTCGACCAATTACCAAGAACTTTGCTGTTGTTTTTTGATAACAATTTGCTAAACAGATCATTCATTTTTTTATTCATTTTCTTTTCTTTTATTAATCTGGGGTCACCACAGCGGAATTAACCGCCAACTTATCCAACATCTGTTTTACACAGCGGATGCCCTTCCAGCTGCAACACATCACTGGGAAATACCCAAAACTCTCATTCACACTCATACACTACGAAGAATTTTTTAGCCTACCTAATTCACCTGTACTGCATGTCTTTGGAATTGTGGGGGAAACCGGAGCACCCTGGGGAACCCACGCAAACACAGGGAAAACACGCACACAAAAATGCCAACTGACCCAGCTGAGGGTCGAACCAGCGACATTTTTGCTGTGAGGCAACAGCACTACCATTTACGCCACCATGTCACCCCCTAAACAGATCAGTGCTATAATAGAACGTTTTTACCATCTAAGCCTGTTGGCTAAAGTCAACCCCCTCTTCTCCTATAAGGAACACAACTGTAATCCATTCTTTTATTACTTTAAGATGTGACTGCTGTAATAGATTGTATGTAGAATTAGATCAATCATGTCTTCAGTGCTTATAGCTGGTCCAATATACAGCAGCTTGACTGCTAACTGGGACTAAAAAGTGAGCCTATTACTACTTCAGCCCTAGCTTTGCTTCTCTGGCTCCCTATCCATTTTTGAATTGGGTAAGAGGTTTTATTAATTGTTTTTACGATTTTACTTGGTTGTCAACACCTTATTTGACTGAGCTTTTACACCTTCAACAACCTGTTAGAGCACTGAGGTCATCAAATCTAAAGCTGCGGTCACACTGCACTTTTCTCCCCATAGACTTCCATTCATACGCACAGGAATGCGTCAGACCAGAAACGCAAGTTTGTGCGTCAAGTTTCACAGTTTACTGCATTGCAAAGTTCAAGGTTGGTGAACTCTGACCTACGAAATCGCATCACTTGACTGCGTGAGACTAATCAAAGATCAAAACATGACCTCTCTGGACAGAAATTTAAAATATGGACCAATCGCTCGCCTTTTTTAAAATGTCTAATCCTCTTGTTTAATCCCGCCCCTTTTTGCAGCGCTGTATGACAGTATTTTGCATGCTCAAACTCTAGTGTGACAGCTTAATTCAGGGGTGTCCAAGCTCTGTCCTGGAGGGGCACTGTCCTGAAAAGATTAGCTCCAACTCCAATCAAAACACCTGAGGCAGCTAATTAAGGTCTTACTAGTCATGCTAGACCAAAGGGTCACCAACCCAGTTCCTGGGGCCAAATATAAAATAACAATAACCGGACCATAATATCAGAGTTCAGTCTGAGCAGTTATACACAAATGCAGAAATTAATAAACTCATGAGTCACTAACATGGCATGTTTTCTTCAAATAGATGAGCCAGTGGACTCACCAGCAGCAGGAACAAATGGCTTGACATCATTTAAAGGTAAAGTTAAATTACACATTTCTTAAAATTTTGCAGTTCTTGTCAAAAACATCCTGCTTGGTGTTAAAATGGCTTGTCCACACTATACTTCTTGATTTATTTTTTATTTTTTTAACCTTGTGGCAATGCTTTATTAAATATTAATTGTTATACGGTCTACACAACCATAACAGCATTAATAATTATGGCCTTATTTGCTCAGAACGTTTGCAATTCAGATATTATTTAATCCAGAGCTTACTTTCATGTTTCTTCCTCTCCAGGAATATGAATCATTTCTTAGCAACCATCACCATTCTGGAGTGTCTGTTTGCACTGAGGCAGCTCAACAACATGTGCTTAACTCATAAAATTACATTAAATAACATTTTATGCACTTTTGTATAGGCTGAAAACCTAGTTTATGGCTTGAAAACATTTGATTTGCTGTGACAAGTGATATTGTAAGTGATATGAACAAAACTGTACATAGCTAATCTGTTTATTACTTTACTACACCATATGAAACCAGAATTGTTTGTAAGACATGAATCAATGTGCTATTGATTTATGTCTTTATAAGACAAGTGCCATGGTAATTTATTGGCATGCTGAACAAAATGTTGTTTTTTTGTTTTCTCTCTCCGACGTATTGCTTTTTTTTTTTGTAAGGTTATGTTTTTAAATATGTGTGTTGTGACTTATATTTCCATTTATTTAACTTTACAGCTATAGTGTTATTCTGTATTTTCTATTAACAAATGCAATTTCAGCCATCATCAAGCAAAATCTTGTTTTGTTTATGTCTCATTGCTGATTTCCCATTGCTGAGAATGCATGTCTTATATAAAAGGAAATTGAGATTGTGTGTTTATAGTGTGTGTGTGTATGCATATATATATATATATATATATATATATATATATATATATATATATATATATATATATATATATATATATATATATATATATATGTATGTATGTATGTATGTATGTATGTATGTATGTATGTATGTATGTATGTATGTATGTATGTATGTATGTATGTGTATGTGTGTGTGTGTATGTATGTATGTATGCGTGTATGTATGCGTGTATGTATGTGTATATGTGTGTGTATGTACATATGTATGTACATGCATACATGTATGTATGTATGTATGTATGTATGTACATGTATACATGTATGTATGTATGTATGTACATGTATACATGTATGTATGTATGTATGTATGTATGTATGTATGTATGTATGTATATTTTTTGGCTCCTCTTTTCTGGATTGATCAGCCCCACAAGCTAAAAAGTGGCGTCTGTCCTAATTTTGTTATACATACATACATACACACACACACACACACACACACACACACACACACACATATATATATATATATATATATATGTGTGTGTGTGTGTGTGTGTGTGTGTGTGTGTGTGTTACTGCTAGGTAAAATGTAATAGATTATGTATAGTTGATTTATTATGGATCCTGACACAGTTATATTAAAGCTAATGTAAATATTCTTAATTAAATATTATAATAATATATTATATCATATATTGACGACAATCTATTATAGTTGAAATCGAGCATCAGAGTTAAAAAAAAAAGATACAAATATTTATTTCAAAAACTGATGATTCTGTAGTTTTCAAACACAAAATAGAATGAGTATTGGGTGAAAATGTCATGTAGTTGGCAGAGAAAAATGAACAGACTGGCTTATCATCAGATACAGAAATACAACAGTAACTGAAAACTTGAACCAGGTGAGATACAGCAGAACAGAGCAAACTGCTGCCATTTTTTTCAACCCAAGCTCATTCTGGAAACGTAGCCCCGCGGACGTTTCTGGAGACAGCGATTTACGTGGCCGGAGGTACGTAAAGGCCGCGTTTGTTTTTTTTCGAGCGAACGCCGCCCCTCCTCTTCGCGCTCGCCGGCCGACGGCTCGCCTCCGAGTGGAGGGCTTGCCCGACGCAATCAGTTTGTCCGCCTAGCTCACAGCATTGCGTCGGCAGAGTGGAGGCCCCGGACGAGGAGCAGGAGGAGGAGGAGGAGCCAGAACCGGCCGCAGTGGACAACAACCGGGATCGAGTCCGGGGAACTGCAGGTTCCGGAAATCAGGTGAGACGAAAAGCGGAATCCGAAAAATGAGGGCGAGAACGCGGCGGGATCCGAAAACGCGGACGAAGACGAGGGCTTTTGCTTTTTTTTATTTTTCTTTTTTCAATGCGGCGGCTTTTCGCGCAAGAACGGCGCGGGCACGAACGCCGCACGCTCCCAAGAGACGCCCGCCCGAGACGCGAAAAAGCGATCTGCAGCGGCCTCTCGCGGATCCGCGAAAACAAAAAAACGCTCGAATACGTACCTCCCGGGACGTAAATCGCGGTCCACAGAAACGTCCGCGGGGCTACGTTTCCACAATGAGCCCGGGTTGCATTTTTTCCCATCGCTAATATTATTGTTTTTTTGTACATTTGCTTGTACTTGTCTTTTTTTTTTTTTTGTCAAACATCTATATTTTACATTAAAATTGAATGTTGAATGTATGTTTCTTGTTTGTTCATATTTTACCACATTTTATTCACCACCTTCATTTAATAAAGACATTTCATGTTCTCAAGAGAGAGAGAAGGAACCATGAGCAAGATTGAACAGGGTTGGACGGGCCTCATAAATTAACTCCATCCAATTAAAGGCAAGAGCATACTATACTGATCCATGGCTCTTTCAATAGAGAGTCACTGTTTTTATTTTTAAGGATTTTGGGTCCCTAGGACACACACCACATGTATATTAAGTGGCCGTTTAAAAAAAAATGATGCATGCATTGCCAATGTTTATTTAAATTTATAACATTATCTCTATTGTCATTTCATTAGATCCTCATAAACCCCTTCTGTCAGTAATCCATTACAAAATGTCCATTGATGTTTTGTTGACATTGCCAATGGACTGGGCCAGAAGAATTTGGTGTAGTGTTAGGACGTTTATGTTCTGCTTATGTCATGTGTCCCGACCCATGCTGTGTCTGAAATCCCCCATATACCCTTATTCACTGTTACATACAATCAACATAGTCCACTTGAAGGAGTGAATGTAAACAAGTGAGTGAATTGGAGCACTAAGTGCACCGCAATGAGTGCTGCATTTTGTGCTTTGCTGGTTAAAAATTGAGGTTAAATTTAGCCTATGATAGTTATTTAACACTTTGCAAGTTGTCTGTTAATAAAACAAAGTATTCTGCTGTAGATCCCATCTTGTGGTCAAATGCATAAATTAACCTGGCACACAAACTTTGGTTATTTTCTAGCTGTTGAGTGATTGACTGAGTGCACATTAGAATAGTCACTATGGTTTTGAACACCACTAGAAGTAGCTGCTCTCTCAAATAGTGCTGTTTGAGGGTATATTGGCAGTTTAAGATACAGCCGCTTTATCAACTAACTTGCAATAGTCAAAGCTCTGAATCTAACAAGCCAATTTTGCCTGACAGTGTGTGGCTTCTGCATATTAAAGTTGTCTAAGTTTGCAACGTGACGATCAATAGGATAAATAGGATAAATCCGGGTTTTTATTATTTGCATACTACAAAATCCATGTGTTAACATCTTTTTTCTGGCTCCTCTTTTCTCGATTTATCAGCCCCACAAGCTAAAAATCAGCACCACATGCTACAAAATGGCGTCTGTCCTAATTTTGTTGAATGTACACTTGAGCCTTAAGTGGGGGACAACTGGTCTCTGTAGACTATAATGTTGAATAAGCTTGGTATAAAAAAAATGTATTTGAAAATATATTCTCTGAAAAATTGGCAGCCAGTGAAAAGCTCTAAGAATTAGGATATTGTGTTCATGTTTACGGCACTTTCAAAGAAGTCTAGCTGCTGCGTTCTGAACAAGCTGATGATGAGTGATTTAAGGCTTGGATATTCCACAATATAGAGCAGTGGTTCTCAAACTGTGGTACGTGTACCACCAGTGGTACGTGAGCTTCTTTCTAGTGGTACGCGGAGGAATCAAATATGTCATATGTACATGCTACGTATATTTTAAAATTGATTAAAAATGATTTATATTTAAATATGATGACATATAGCCTATATTTATGAGGTCCAAGCAACATTTCCAGGTTTTGATAAATAGGCTACTATATGTTAATACTTTGCATTTAAGTACGGGAGGGATTTATTTTATTTATTTTTTATTTTTTTAAGTACACTAGCCAACCATTTTTAATTAACTTTTTAAAAGCACATTTCAATGTAAATGTTGACATTTTATTTTATTGTTTGTTTTTACCTGTAAGCGGAGCACTTTGTTAATGTTCAAACTATTTATATTGTTTAAAGTAGATGACAATGATAAATATTTTTAATAATAGGAACTAATCTGCCTAGTTTTTTTAACTGTGCAGAGCTTTAGCTGCTTTATTGGGCCTATGCTTCTGTATTTCAATACTGGTCATCATGGTGATACTTGGAGAGACAATTTTTTTTCTGAGGTGGTACTTGATGAAAATAATTTGAGAACCGCTGATATAGAAAGTTGCAATGTTGTAGTCATGATGTGATGAATGCATGCAGCCATTTTGAGGGGTTTTTAAGAAAGAAATTGTTTAACTTTGATAATAGGCAAAGTTGATAGAAACTGCGCCTAATAAGAGAAGAGATATGTAAATAGCGCATTCGCTATTTACAGGATGCAAAGTAAGTCTAAGTGGAAAAAATGAGCATTTCACTAGCAAACAGTTAACAGTTGACAGTTTTTAACAGAAAACTGTTAAACAGAGCATCTACTGTGTGAGAATGAGAGATAATGGATCACTTTCACTTTCGCTCGTGGATAGGGAAACCTTTATGCACAGACATCAATTAGCCTATAAATAATTAATTTTGTTTGTTAAGCGCAAAGATTTGTTTCAAAACTATTTCTAAATTCAGTTCTAATTTCCAGCAAACGAATAAATAAACAATAATGACCAAGTGTGGTCAAAATACTGAGTTATTTCCAAATACACCTGCCATGCCCCATATGTTCTAGAACCTGACAGGTGGGCAAATCTAAGCTTGTTTTTAATAAAACAAATACAAATATGGATATATTAAATAATACTGCTAATAATAATAACATTATACAAAAGCAAATTGTTATGAATGAACTGAAAAAGCCCCCCGAGATGAAGAAGACATAAAAGCAGTGATTTTTCATATTTATGTAGGCTAGAAAATAATATGTTTTGTAATAGTTTAATCCTTTATATTTATATCCTATATATATATATATATATATATATATATATATATATATATATATATATATATATATATATATATATTCTTATTATATCCTATATATATTCTTAATATTTTATTTTTTATATGTAGAGATATTTGCCTATTGCTCTCTTGTGCGTATTAAGCAGCGTGTAAGCGAATTTAATTTAGTACGATTTGCTTATCCCCCAATGATGGTTGGGGTTAGGGGTGGGGTTGGGTGCCACGCCTCCTTTTTAAAATCGTACCATTTCGTACGACTGAACTAGTACGAATTCGTACGAATTAGCCAATAAACTGGCAAGACGTAAAATACTTACGTTTTCTCGTGAGATCAGGCTGCAACACCTCAAAACAACTCTTGCGCCAAGCTGAAACTAACAAAAGACTATTGCACCGCATCTGATAGGGCCCAATGAGTTTGGACCAGTGACAATTACTTCTGTGTTCTCTTTTAAAAATAGAACATTAATTGATTTCTTAATTAAACCTTTTCCAGGCAATTTTAAATATAATTAAATCACCCCACCTCCAGCTTGCACTGTCATCATCAATCTTATACTTCTACTCTTGGAGTCTCCTCTAACGCTCTGGCTCGACTTTTGACCTTTGTCACTCTGATCATTTCAGACAACACTGCTTACTTTAAACAGGAAGCAGCCAGGTTCATCACATTTACACATTTGCACTATGAACTGCATTATTTGCTGTGCATTTTTTGTATCTGCATGTTATAAGAATGTGTGTTGTCAGAGTTGTTGTACCATACTTTTTACTGACATCAAGTGGAAAAAAGCGAGCATGTTAATGCATTTGCATTGAGCAGCAATGCAAACATTGAAAAGCTTAAGCATTTAAATGCAGCCTAACAAGCTTAAGTGTGATTTTTTTTATATATATTTCCACAGCTAGAAATGTTTTCTTTTGCCCCACTGTCATAATCCAAGAGCAAGAGAAAGTTGGAAGAAAAAGAAGGTCCATGTACCACTTTTTTTAACAACATTTATTAAATTGTGCACTAACCACATCCACAAAGCTTCAAACCGAAACCAAAACAAAACAGAATGTATTAGTAATAAAATAGTATAATATAAGATTTTTCTTGTTTTGCATATTAAAATTTTTAAAAATGCATGGCTGGAAAATGACCACTTTTTTAAACATATATTTTTACAATTTTAACATTTTTTTTTTTTTTTTTTAAATAAACTGTATACACACACTAAACACACAATGCATGGATAACACACAATGTTCACTGATTTAAAAAAAATTTAATTATAAAAATGGTAATAATTTTTTTTTTAATGATCACGTAAACCAAACATCTACTTGGCTTTGTAGTTGAAATGGTTGTAGACACAATGTCATGATTTCCTGTCAGGTATAGACAGAATGCGGTTACAACAGGATGCTTTTCAGAGAAATCATGCAACATCTTTGTTCGCTGAAGGTTGAGCTTTGATTGCAGCACAAATGGAAGCGTTTAAAATGATCCTCTTGACAGGTAGGATACCATATTTAACATATTAATTATGACTTCAATAAAAACCATTGCAAATAATTAAACACTGTGTAGTTGTGAATCTGCCATCAACACAATCCCTAATTCCTTGCGTTAAAATTACAGCAGCAGTCTGTGTGAGGGGGGCATCTCAAGACAACGTTGACAGTAAGATTACATTTTTTACAACAGGTGTTTTTTTTATTTTATTATGTGCACTCTTGTTGTCTTTCTGACCAGTGTATTTTAACGAAACAATGTATTTAAGATTATAAATTTCCTAGATCCAGTTTACAATTCCAAGCCCATCTCTCAAGTTTAAGAGCATAATTACATAAAAACAGTCCATTTTGTTCTTTCATTAATTTCTGTTTAGTTTGGTTTCCATATATCACCTGTCTCCAGAGTTATACCTGTTAGCTGCCTTCGTTATTTTTTCTCTCCACCTCCACGTCTCATTATCAAACCAACCATCAAAGATCACATATTTTAGCCTAGTATTGCAGGAATCTTTCAAGATCATCTCAGACGACCTGACAAATGGGCATGGCTGAAATCACACAGTGAGAGCAGCACTTTAATTTAAGATAGCCTATAATGTTACGTTGGTATTTTTTCACATTTTTCACAAATTTGTGTTACAGATGCCAAATGTGATTTGGGATTCTTATCCAATCTTACAAAATTGTATCTTATCTTTAAATAAGAAATTTTAAATTTTGTCAATTTTGACATTAACTCTGTTAACAAGGAACCAACAGTGAATTAGCTGCTAATGTGTTAGCCTAAACGAAATAGTTAAACAAAACCAGCAAGCTTTCAGACAAACCAAGTTGTGACATTTTTATGATAGAAGCTATAATCACTTTGAAAATAATCTTTTGAAGAGACCATACAGCATCAGACTCTTGTGCTATAACTCTGTGATGCTCTGTTGGTCTCTGTAATGCTGCTTGCAGTTCCTGTGCTTACTGTGCTATGTTGTGTGGCTGACTGTAATTTCTTATGCGTATTGTCATGGAAAGTAACATCTTCAGGGTCTTTCTACTGTTTAACATCTTCATTTTTATTCTGCAAAAAATGTAATGCCATTCTCCACAAACCTCACATTGATATATTTATTCTTTACCAGCCCCTTTAACCCCTTGAAAAAGTTATTCTGTCTTTCCAAGTTCATGTTAGAGTCCAAAAGGTGTTGATAATAATTCAAAGTTGTGTCTTTTTTATTTTTTGTCTAGTTTTAATTTAAGGATCCTGAAATAAACTTTTGCCCATTGTTTTTTCATGCTTCCTGTGTTGCCGCTTGCCTTCCTTGTTGTATGCACTGGTGATGATTCTTTGTCAACCAGTAGCATTCAGCTGCAAGTCTGGATCCAGTCTTGCGTCACCGTTCTGAAGTGCTAAGGTAGTGTTTGCTTATTAGAGAGTAGAAACTGACTGAAATGCCTACCACAGTGTACCGAACTATACCGTTCAGTTACAGCAGGCCGTAATAGCTATTGTCCTAATTGTGGTCTTAACTGAAATTACTATCCAGGTAGCAAAGAATTCTGGCCCAGATTTGGCATGAAGCTGGCATAGCAGGTATTCATCCGGCTCTGGCTTACAGCATGTGGGCCAAACAAGGCCAGGGATAGGCAGAGGTGGCGCCGTCTTTAAGGCGGCACACAATTCTTGGGCAAAATGTAAAATGTAGTATTTGAACCAGATGTTACTAATTGATATGTGGGCCATGTAGGTTTGGTCTATATTGACCCCCATCTAAAATACATGTTTATTATTTTTCAATAAAGAAAAAACTTCTACCAATCAGATCACTATCAGTTTTATCAATTTCATTGCTGTTGTTATTAACTGAGACTTGGCCTAGATATGGTGCATGTTTGGCCATTGTCTGGCAACTTGGTCCAGTCATGTACTGTAATTCACTGTGGTATGTGGGTTAAGCAGAAGCTGATTGTGTGGGCCAGAGCTGGGCCAGATAAATTTTGCTATGTGGGTATGGTTACCAAACCAATACAATTAGGGTTTAAAGCTAGCACCTTTCTGTAACCCCCCCCCCCCGCCTCCCCCTGGTCTATCAAATCTTCTTACAACCCTTCAGATTTTCACCAGCATTATATGTGTCCTGAAATCACTGACAAAAATAATGCAAATGTTCATACTGGAACTGTGTCCTAGCAGTGACAGCACTATTCTGGGGCAAGGTGGGCTATATCAACGCAATTAGTGGCTAATTCATATGAATTTGTACGATCTAATTTGTACAATTTAGTACGATTTGCTCATCACCCAATGACGGTTGGGGTTTGGGGTGTGGTTGAGTGCCACGCCTCCTTTTAAAAATCGACTGAACTCATACGAATTCGCCACTAAACTGACAGACCGTAAAATACTTACGTTTCCTCGTGAGATTAGGCTGGCTGTATAGCCTAATCAGAGTTTTGAATAGTCTCAGTTTAGCCCTTAGTTCAGTATCCTTATTTTCCTGAGAGAGTCCCAAATTTCAGCTGTTATATTGTTTACCTGCAGAAACACTTCAGCCAAAACTGTCAATAGAGTCAAAATTGAAATCATTTTACCCAACTGAAAAAGTGACTCTGAAGTGTTCAGTTGACGGAGATTCAAATAGATGGACCTATGAATGGTTCAGAGACGCAGTGCAGCTTCCTAAGGATGAAGACATTTCCTTATCGAGAAACACACTTTCAATCAACTCAGCAAAAGTGAGTCATTCAGGAGTCTACACTTGCAAAGGAAAACATCTGTCAAGAATGGAAATGCCTACATCTCCAAGCAAAAAGGTGGAACTTCGTATTTATGGCAAGTAAAGACTCTTCTGCAAATATAAACATCTGTCTTTGAAAGAAATAAAAAAAAAGTTTAGAAACAGGTTATAAATTAGTTAAATTTACCACTGTGATTCTTAGGTGCGATGCCAAAACTACAAATCAAAAAACGTCAGTGGTTTAAGCCATTCTACACTGGGGAGAAAATCCAGATCAGTTGTGAAAGGATTGGTGTTGGTTGGGAATACAAATGGTATAGGATCAAAGAATCAATTAAAACTGTTATTAAAGATGCAAAGCCAACCTTCAAGATCAACTCTGCGTCTCTCTCTGACACTGGCGGATATCTCTGCAAAGCAAAAAGAGGAAACTTATCAGTGGAGAGTGAGACGCTACAAATGGAAGTTCAACGTGAGTTCATAATTTACGTCTGTGTGTTCATTTCTACTGCAGTTTTTTTCCACTGTCCATTTACTGAGGCTACAATATATCAGTTAAGTTACAGGGAAAAGCTGCTGTCATATTATGTAAATATAAATAAAGATTAGATACATTTTAGATGAGGATATGTGGTAATTATGTTCAAAACTGCATCAGTTAATGCTTAATATTGTTAACAGACCATCTGAAAATATGTACAAAAATATACCATCATTTTGTATTTAAAATAGATTTCCCTGGTCAAGAATGCAGTCTGTATCAAATCTCAAGTGTTTCACATACGACCCATACTACTCTAATCAAAAGACTTGTTGGAGACCAAATCTCTAACAATATAGATATATTTAAATCTTTAGTGCAACAATTCCCATTTGTACATACCTCAGATGAAATCCAGCGGACCTTACAGTTTGGTTTATGTTTTCCTTGTTCCCATTAGAGCTGCCTCTACCACACATCCAATCTGAATGGACAGAAGCGTTTCCTGGTGAGAAAGTGTCTATGCAGTGTGTGCTTCACAATACATCAGAAAACTGGATCTACTCGTGGTTCAGGGGCTCAATAGAAATTGTCCCTAATAATGTAACAAGCATAAAAGTAAACACTCTCACACTCTTAGTTCAGTCCAATCATAATGGAGAGTATGAGTGTCAAGCTGAGCTGAAGGGCAGGATGGTGAAAACGGCAAAAAGCAAAACACAATCATTAACAGTTCATGGTGAGTTTTAGCTTTGAGCAACATGTCATGGTAAATATCGTGATGTAACACAGTGAAATACATTTGAGATAAACTTTTTAAAAGTTGTAATACAATTTTTTTTTCATAATAAGTTAATTTTACTGACATAATATTATTAATTATATACTTAAATATAAGCGACACATGTGAGCAATGCCATTCTGCTAAAGCAGATTTGGCTCATATGCTTTGGACATGCCCCAGACTGTTCAATTATTGTACAACTATATTTAAAATTCTGTTCAAAGCATATAATAAAGACATTAGGCCTAGCTTTGAAATGGCTATTTTTCGAGTACTTGAACAAGATACAGTCATGTCCAATAATTATGAAGATGCTTTTGCCTTTGCATGTCTTATGGCTCTGAGAAGAATATTGCTTGAATAGAAATCAAGGAAACCACCTTTAGTTTCACGCTGGTTTAGTGATATGATGCCGTTCTTAAGATTGGAGAAAATTAAATACTCTCTTAGAGGATCTACTAAATGTTTTATACAGTATGGAATACATTGAAAAAGGCCTAACACTTCCCCTAAACTAAAACTAATAGAAGTCTATGCTTATGAGGATAATGCAATCAAACTCAATGGGCAAACATTACTGTTAAATACTTTCTCATTGTCCTATCAAAACTCTGTACTCTGTTACTATGTAATTTTTTTTAACGTTAGTATTAAATCATTCATTTATTTTATGATACTTTTGTTATAAATATAATTGATTTTTTTATATATTTTTTTATAATTTTTATTAATAGTTTATTTATTTATTTACTTTTTTTCTGAATGGGAGGGAGGCTGGTCATACAGGGAAAATGTAACAAAAAAAAGAAGAAAGAAAAGTCTTGTCAAATCCTTGTTTGTAATAACTTGTTTTTCTTTGAATAATAAAAAAAAGAATATTATTAATTAACACAATATCCATGTTTTATATGGTTTTAAAGCATCACAGCCAACAATCCTTCTCAAGCAAGATCCAGCATATCCAGAGTTATACACGGGGGAACAAGTCAAACTTCACTGCAGCATTCAAGAGCAAATGTTTCAATGGGAATACCTGTGGCAGAAAGATTCCGGTGGCAAAAAGGTGCAAGTAAACAGTGACTTCAAAAACCCTGTTTACACAGTCTCAAGTACTGTATACTCAGACAATGGGTCATACACTTGTCAAGTAAAAACAAGAGGGGTCACATTTACATCAACTGAGTTTATAAATCTGGTCATAAGAGGTAAGGGGAATCTTTTTATACAGTTAAACATTAGAAAATCGTCAGTTTTGTAGTATTGTTCTTCTTTTTATATGTGCAGAACCACCTCAACCGAAATTGTCAATAGAGTCTGAATGGAAATCTTTTTACCGAACTGAAAAAGTGACCCTGAAATGTTTAGTTGATGGGGATTCGAATGAATGGGGCTATGAATGGCTCAGAGATGCAGTGCAGCTTCCTAATGATGAAAGCATTTCTTTATCTGGAAACACGCTCTCAATCAGCTCAGCAAGCATTAGTCATTCAGGAGTGTACAGCTGCAAAGGAAAACATCTGACGAGAACACCAGTGACTACAGCAGAAAGTGAAAACATGCAGCTTCGTGTTGACGGCAAGTAAAGACGATTTGATAAACTAAGATTTAAGAAACAAGCAAGAAAACGTTCAGAAAATTAGAAGTACAAATGATCAAAGGAACAAGAACAAGTGTGTAAAGGAAAGATTACTTTGCCCAGTTACATTTGCTGAATCGTGCATATCGGTATGGCAGTTTGCTGTTAGCATTGGCAGACAGCTTCTAAATAGCATTTACAGACAATATTAGCAGCATACTATTATAGACACTAAGGCCCCGTTCTGCTAGTTAAATGTGACCCAATTCCGATTTTTTCCTCATATGTGACACAGATCGGATCTGTTCTATGGCCGTGTAAACATGAAAAAAAAAACGCATGCATTTGGATATTCAGAGATCGGTTTCTGGCCTCCCTCATATGTGGAAATAAATCAGATATAAATCGGATATGTGACAATGCGACTGTTATGTAAACAGGCGGATCGGATTTATTGAGGCATTCTGTTTTATATGTTAATAAACTTGCAGCAATGTGCTTCTTCGCGGTTTAATGACACAGAAGAAAAAGAGCGTGTGTGGAGACGCCAACATGGTAAACAATAAAAACAGAGGAAACATGGAGGAGAAAAGAAGTCAGTCGCCACAATTTGCTCCCACCAGACCTGAGATCTCTCTAGTACCCACTAATTCCTCTGAATGGTGGAGGACACCATATATAAACCATAGGTGCAAGCTGCAATGACGGCCCTTTCCCCCCTCCGCCTCAAAATCGATTTTAAATTTGAGCGAACTTCGTGTTGTAACTTTTGCTTTTTGTCGCTATTTATACACGAACTGCGGGCTACACAAAGAACAACTTTATTCTCTCTTACACCCGTGTGCACACAGACAAAGGCTACATCTTCAAATACACACACACACACATACACATCAGGGCTATACCATTACATAAACTGCATGGGGGTAAATCTGGACTGAACGATTCACTGCTTATTCTACACTTCACATATTTTGCAGGGCTAAAAGCAAGCTAGTGCTTCCACAGCTTCCATCCTGGCTAGTGTGCATGTGCAACATTGTAAATGGTATGGCAAGTGTAAACACATGAATTGGATATGGGTCACAATCAGGGCTTTACATTAACTTTTTTGATCACCAGCCACTGTGGCTAGTAGATTTCCAACATTACTTTCACTAGCCACAATTTTGTTGTTTGGAAAATATATTTTATCTAAATAAATGTGACTTTGATATGTTAAAATGACTTGATTTAGATGTTGTGTTGTCCCAGATCAGCAGTTAATTTACACAAATGGTTGGATAATCTCATATTAAAGAAATGTAATTGTAAAGGATGATAATTAAACTATATTAACAAAAACAACTGTAAGCAAAAGAAAGCAGGTAAAATACCACGAGTGATGAAAGGATGATCACGTGCCTGAGAATAATTAAAATGAAAGCAGTAACTGCTGCTGTTGCTTACGAATATATATGTATATATTTTAAATTTTAGCTCTTAAAAGCAGCAGGACTGTTGGTACACAAGCATCGTTTTTTTTGTCTAGTCTTTTTCAAAAAGAACCGAACGCAAGTGAACGGAAAAAAACGCAAGTAAACGGGAACGCGTATGCTTTAAAGTTGCGCGCATCACATCTCCTGTGCGCGCGAGAAAACATCCTCTCATACGGTATTCCCCTGCTTTGTTTCGCGCGAACACAGTTGTTTTCAGTCGTGCTGTTTCTCGATTCTAAGATCACATTTGCACGCATATTGGGCCATCCTTATTCTCGAGTCGAACCCTGCTTTAAGAAAACTACGATGTAAAAATTATTTCCAACCTGCCAGAGTGGCTAGTGGGAGCGACTGTCCTACCCGCCAAAGCTGAAATCTACCCGCATTTGGCGGGTTGGCGGGTGTTAATGTAAAGCCCTGGTCACAATTAAAACAACGTGTAAACAGACCAGCCTGATCTCACGAGAAAACGTAAGTATTTTACGTTTTGCCAGTTTAGTGGCTAATTCGTACAAATTCGTACGAGTTCAGTCGTACGAAATGGTACGATTTTTAAAAGGAGGCGTGGCATCTGACCCCACCCCTAACCCCAACAGTCATTGGGGGATAAGCAAATTGTACTAAATTGTACGAATTAGATCGTACGAATTCATACGAATTAGCCACTAAATGAAAAAGTTACGAATTGCCGTGAGATTGTGTTGAAACAGACAGGCAAAAAAATCAGATATATGCAACAAATCGGAATTGAGCATCAAGACCTGACAGTGTAAACGAGGCCTTAGATGTGACACCAAAACCACAAACTCAAACAACAATAGCTGTGTCATATCTGCTGAACATTCTATGGGACTAAACAAGGTAACTATTTCTGCCCTGTAACTTGTAGGTGTGATGCCTAAACCAAGCTTAGAAAAACATGAGTGGTTTAAGCCCTTCTACATTGGTGAGAAAATTCAGCTTGACTGTAGTATGGCTGGTGTCGGTTGGGAGTACAGCTGGTATAAAGTCAAAGGATCAAAGCAAACTGAACAAATAAACCAACATCCGGCTTGCACTATCAACTTGGAATCTGTCTCTGACAATGGTCTCTATCTCTGCAAAGCAACGAGAGGAAACTACTCAGTGGACAGTGAGACTCTGGAAGTGCAAGTACAAAGTGAGTCAAAATGTTACCTCTTTGTGTTAATTTCTACTATGGAATATAGTTTAAACTATAGACCCCACATAGACTATAGGTCTGGTGGAGACAGGACAAATCTAAGCTCATCTAGAATGTTTCTGTTTCACTATTAACATCAATAAGTGAGAACTGGATATGTGTGAGGGAAGAAAGGACGAAACAGTGGAGGAGAAGTGCGTGGAGAATAAATAGTGTAGATTGCGTCTAAAAGAGACTGTTTGGGAGAATGGGGGGGTTGTTTGTTGGAGACGGTAAGTCGGAAGTAATGTTGAAGTGGTCAGAAATGTGCAACTGTTTAGCTGACTTTATCAGAAGTGCAATGTCTTGTGTATATAAGGTCAAGTCTCTTCAAGATCAAATCAAGATCCCCTTTCGGCTGTCAGCATATGCACCAAATTAAGTAAATACTCTCAATTATACAGTGGTTCCTAGAAAGAAAATCAAAATCAACAAAAATTTGCATTTGAAGATCAAGTTTATTTATATAGCATTTATGCTTTACAGGAAAAAAATAATCTAATGATATGCGCAAAAAAAAACAGTAACAACAATAGGCACATAATAAGAAAGAACATAGAAAGTGTAACAATAAAAAGAGCAAGAAATTTTTGCCTAATTAAAAGATGCTATACAGTTGACCAACACTAAACAAGATTAAAAACAGGACCATTTTGACCCCCCTATGACCCCCTGAAGGGAATGCTTCAAAAGACCTAGAAAATAAATAAGTCTTTAATTTCGATTTAAAAATAGGCAGCGACAAGCCTTTTTTAGTTCTAATAGCAGGGCGTTCCAGAGGCGAGGACCTGCAATGGCAAAAGCACATTCGCCCCTACTTTTAAGGTAGACCTTGAAACTTTTAATAAAAACTCATCTGCAGAACGCAAGTGTCTGGATGGAGTGTAAATAACAACCAGTTGGGAAATTGACCATGAAATTGACAGACCATGTAGGGCTTTAAACACAAAGAGAAGGATTTTAAATTTGATTCTTTGTCGCCGATAACCAATGGCTTTTTGTTAAAAATCTAGCTGCTGCGTTTTGCACTAACTGTAGGCGAGCAATTTGAGACTAACGCCCCATTCACACGGGGCGTCAGCGTCAACGCTTCCCATTCACTCAGGCATTGCCGAACTGCATTGTGAATCCGTCTGCGCCACTTCAGAGGCGTTGCTCGCTGCAGAAGTTGGGACTAGCTCAGCTTTTCAAGCGCCAACGGAAGCATCAGCCAATCACATCGCTGTATGCAAATACACCAGCTAGACAGTGGCCTATTGCTGACTGGATTTCATTGGCTGACGCTTCTATGATGATCGCTTCAGCCCCAACTTCAGACACGCCTTCAGTGTGACAAGCCCCGTGTGAATGGGGCGTGACTGAGCTCAACTGCATTTGGCAGTTTACACTTACTAAAAACTTGTAATTGGTCAAGAAAAAATAAATTTGGCAATGTATGACTGCTTTAAATTCAGATTCAGGTTCTCCATTATCTCCCTGGCCACTTTCATGTTAGAGTTTGGTTATTTTACTCTTTTTCACTTTAGAACAACCTGAACCCCACGTTCAATCTGAATGGACAGAAGCGTTTCCTGGTGAGAAAGTGTCTATGCAGTGTGTGCTTCACAATACATCAGAAAACTGGATCTATTTGTGGTTCAGAAACTCAATAGAAATTGCATCCAGTGAAGAGACAAACATAAAAGGAAACACTCTCACGTTCTCAGTTCAGTCTAACCATAATGAGGACTATGAGTGTCAAGCAGAACTGAAGGGCAGGATGGTGAAAACTGGAAAAAGCAAAACCCAATCATTGACAGTTTATGGTAAGTTGTATTAAAGGAGTCAACCAAAGAAATACTGTGGTTGAAAGAATTGAAAGACAAAAGTGGCATAATATGTAAAATATTTGATGTTTTTCATATATTTATGAAATAACACACAGTATGACTTTGCTGTAAGCTCTTCCAGTTGCCGTGCTGACTCTGGAAACTGATCTGAGTGATATCATGAAGGGTGAAATAACCCTCAGGTGTAACATCTCAGATGGCAGACAGTGGAACTACACCTGGTATAAGAATGAAATGATGCTCAACGCTTCATCAGAAACTCTGACAGTGAAAGGAACCGAAGAAGCAATTAAATGTGAATTCAAATGCAAAGGAGTAAGGACGGAGATACCACTTTTCTCTGCTACAAGTGAGGGTTATGTAGCCAATAATTTAAGTGAGTAATTGGTTTATTTATCATTAATTCTGACATACAGTGTAACTTTATTAATGTATGCAAAAAATAAATAAAATACAGGTATAGGTGAACTGGATAAACTAAATTGACTGTAGTGTATGAATGTTTGTGTTGTGTAAATGAGAGAGGCTGTTTCTCAATTCCAAGAACGCAGAGAATGGACTTGCGTTCTTGTGGAGAGCGGTCTTGCCAGGTATCCTCGGAAGAACGAACTCAGGAGACCAGGAAGGCAGAGAACGCGTAATTATTTAAACATTACAGCATTTATATAACCATTTATTGTTTCCCCCATCTTCAAAATATATACTTTGCATAAAAACATTATAAATATATGTTGCACAATATAAATAAAACAGATTTTAATACGAATTTCAGCAAACAAACAACCCTTAATGTGTTTATTTCTTTATTAAGATATCCATGTTAATGTTTACTTTCACCGTTTCATTTAGGGAAACTACTGAGGTAAATAAGTGATATCTCTGAACTTTAATAATAAATCTAAATAAAATGCTGCGCTTCCCACCTTCAGTCGCAATGACTTCTGGGACTTCCAGAGCGAGTTCGGTGCTCAAGTCTGCATCAGTGCGTCCTCGATATCAAGAACACATCCGGGAAGTTTCACGCGTCCTCCGTACTTGCGGTCCTGAGTATTGGAACTGAACTTAGGCAGCTGATGATGACGTTGCACGAGAACACGAGGACGCAAGACCGCTGAAGAACGCATATTGAGAAACAGCCAGAGAGTCTTTCCCAGCACTGAGGTTTCACAAGTTAGGTTTCGGCTGGATCCATTTACGGTTTACACTTTAGTATATTCAACCAAACTAAAGATACTAAAGTTAAAATTGTAAATTAAAGCACACTTTTTTTTAAAAACATTCCTTGCTACAGTTTTTTAATGAAAATGCTATGCATATATACAGGGGTTGGGCAATGAATCTCAAACTCCTTGTTTTAAACAACAATAATTTATAAGTATAGTGTAGGGCAGGGGTGACCAACCCTGTTCCTGGAGATCTATCTTTCTGCAGATTTCAGTTGCAACCAATGTCAAACACACCTGCCTGTAACTATCAAATGCTGTTTAGGTTCTAATTAATTGGTTTAGGTGTGACTGATCAGGGTTGGAGCTGAACTATGCAGGAAGGTAGATATGCAGGAACAGGTTTGAGCACCCCTGCTGTAGGGCCTCCATTTGTGGCCAATGCAGCATCAATTCGTCTTGAGAATGACAGATACAAGTCCTGTACAGAGGCATTTTAGCCATTATTCTTGCAGAATAGTGACCAGTTCACTGCGTTGATGGTGGTGAAGGAAAACATCAAAGTCTGGTGACTGTGCAGGCCATGGGAGATGTTCTTCACTTTCGTGTTCATCAAACCACTCTGTCACCAACAGTTTTGGGCAGTAGCGTCGCTGCAAGTAGTGATGCTACTAACTTAACTACATTTCTCAGTAGTGTGGCGGTACTGTCGCTACTTTCTAAATCAAATAGCTTTTCAGTAGCAAAGCTATTTTTTTTTTGTCAAGTAGAGCAGTATTGTCCACACAAGCTACAGTTACAGATCGCGAATTAATAAGTGACGGTTCCAACATTTGCCTGTGTCTAGCTGATAAAACTAAATCAATTTTACTATTAATATAGTTACTAATTACTATTACTATAGTTACTAATGATACTACATTATATATATATATATATATATATATATATATATATATATATATATATATATATATTTATATATATATATATATATATATATATATATATATATATATATAATAGCCCCCTTTGAATTATTTTTTTCTTTTTGAAATATTTCTCAAATGATGTTTAACAAAGCAAGAAATTTTCACAGTATGTCTGATAATATTTTTTCTTCTGAAGAAAGTCTTATTTGTTTTATTTCGGCTAGAATAAAAGCAGTTTTTAATTTTTTAAACACCATTGTAAGGTCAAAACTATTAGCCCCTTTAAGCTATATATTTTTGATAGTCTACAGAACAAACCATTATTATACAATAACTTGCCTAATTAACTAACCTTTAAATGTCCCTTTAAGCTGTATAGAAGTGTCTTGAAAAATATCTAGTGAAATATTATGGTAACACTTTACAATAAGGTTCATTAGTTAATGCATTTACTAACATGAACTAATCATGAACAACACATGTACAGCATTTATTAATCATAATTGAACATTTACTAATGCGTTATTAACATTCAAGTCCATGCTTGTTAACATTAGTTAATGCATGAACTAACAATGAACTACTGTATCTTCATCAACTAACGTTAACTAACATGAACAAATACAGTAGTAAATGTACTGTTCATTGTTTGTTCATCTTAGTAAATGCATTAATTAACATTAACTAATGAACCTTATTGTAAAGTGTGACCGAAAAGCATTATTCATACAGTTTTAGAAAGGAATGCTAATTTAGTTTTATCTTAATGTATCTCTTTAATCGTTACAGTGTTCAGAAGAAAAGTACTTCTGTCCATCTCTGGAATTCTCATCTGCTTTATTGTAATCATGATCATTGGATGCATCATTCTAATAAGCAAATATAAAAGACCCTCACAATCATATAGAGTTGTGGGTAAGTGTCAAAGGTCACCCATGTTAGTTTTGGTTTCACTTCACATCTTAAATGTTAAAGGGTCATGAAACCACCATCTTTCAGTTCAAATCTACTGAAAGTGACATCGTCTCAATAGAGATGTTAATTTCGGAAGATGAAAATAGGGAAAAGCTCAAAATTAGCTAGTCATTCTCTACGATTAGAGCAGGGGTGTCCACACTCGGTCCTGGAGGGCCGGTGTCCTACAAAGTTGAGTTCCAACCCCAATCAGACACACCTGGGCTAGCTAATCAAGCTCTTATTAGGTTTTCTAGAAACATCCATGCAGGTGTGTTAAGGCAAGTAGGAGCTAAAATCTGCAGGACATTGGCCCTAGCTCCAGGTCAAGTTTTGGACACCCCTGAATTAGAGCTAATAGATGTTAATGTTGTGTTAATCGATGTTCACATACACAAATCAATTAAAACCTCAGAAACTTTAGTTTGACGTTTCATGACCCTTTAAGGAAAAAATGCATGCTATGCTAATGTGTTTTTTATAATATTAACACTGTAATGTTGTTCTTGTATTTATTAGCGAAGAGAGAAACAGAGGACTGGTATTCTCAGAGGCAGACTCAACAAACGGTAAGATTCTGCTTTACTGTGTTTGTCTTGTTTTTGTTTTGTTCCCCACATTTACTGTTTATGTGTCTATCATGTGATTTCTCTGCAGAGGCGGCTTTACAGCTAAGGAAGTACATGGACTAAATACCAGCAGTGAAAATGTATGTGCCATTTGCTGTGTTTGGCCGACATCATAATCAAACATATAGACCAATTAACTTAAACAAATGATACTCTCTATATCATAAAGCAAAACTATTTTAAACCCTAAACACTGGGTTGATTATCCTGAAACCTGCTTACTTATTTTGCTTACACTTTATTTTGATGATCCATTTGAGTATTAGTAGACTGTTTGCTTAATATCTGTTGATACTGCTCCGTCAACAGGCATTTAACTAACTATATGAAACTTTACAAGTACAGTGTTTTCTCAATGATTTTTTCCAACTGTGGCGGCAGACTCTGTTGGCCATTTTACACAGATCTACCACTACATGTGGCGTTATTTCATTGACAGATGTCATGGACGCAGTATTAAGTCGAGATCGCATTCATGTAATAGCCTACGAGCTAATCTCTGCTTGAGCACCGATTTCCTCTGTTCGTGCACAAAACTTCTTGCGCACCCTCAAATATATGCTGCTCAAGTGGCAATTTTCTTGCGCGCCCTAAAATAAACGCGGCTGAAGTGTGATTTAGTGCATTTATGTATTGAGTATATCGCCAACATTTATTAGATTTGCTAGGAATATTTATAAATGTCTCCGATAGACTTGCGGTGCGGACAGCGGCATTAATGCGTCCTGAAGTAAAGTGAAACGGCTATAAATTTCAGCAAGATAAAGTCATTATATGCAGAACCACAGACCATTATCTATAAATAAACTATAATTATGGATGTGTTCATCCTAACTGAAAGCTACGCCGTGTTTGCTGGTCTCACGGATCACCGATCTGGTCAGCACGTCGCCTTAAAGGGTTAAACAGAACGTACAGCACTACTACGGTTACAGAAAAGTTATTATTCACTTAACTTTTCATACGTTTTACGTTTTTAAAAAACGACCGAATATTTTGAATAAGAAGCTGTAATGTACTGATAAATTTTGGTGTGGCGCCCCGCCACGGAAGAATGAATGTAGCGGAAACCATGAAGTACATGTCAACTTGCACTTACCCCAACCAAAAAGTCTAATTATAATCTAATTTGGAGGGGGTAGGTGGGTCTGTGACCAGCGCTCTTCAGCTGCAGGACCGGATGGCTGCCCGCCCTCATCGAACTATATCCACATCCCCTGTCCCCATCTCCTGTTGCGATGTTATGTCTATGTGTTTATGTGCTTTTTTTTCTCCCTGATCTCACACTGGGAAATTGTATGAGGAGATTAAAAATTGACACTGTTACATAAGCCTCTTGACATGAAGTCTATTATTTTGTCTTATTCTGTACATATTGATCAAAAGCTTTTATGCTTTCTACTGTCACATGCTTATATGTTTCTCTAAAGTACTGGTTTTTATTTTCTAGTAACATTGTATTTTTTATATTTTGTTGTGGATTATTTACATTTTCATGATTTCCTCCAGTTCATCCAGTCAACTTAATCCAAATACACTACTGAGGAAAAGAATTAAATAAATACATAAATAAATACATAAATAAATAAATAAATAAATAAATAAATAAATAAATAAATAAATATTTGTATTATAACTAATTACCAAGACACCTTAACAATCTAATAAGAAGTCTGAGTGTAGTTGATTACATCATGTACTTGTGCAATGGAAATAAATTAGCTTTAAATTATTAATTAACACTCGGCTTGAACTAGCAAAACAGTAGCTACTTACCTCACAAACTTCCTATTCAAATTCCAGAACAACAAACGAGCAGACCCTGCCATCTAGTGGTGATATACAGTCTCTAATGTCTTAATAATTTTTCAAAATCTTGTAGTTCACCTACAGTTCTCTTGTGAGTCAAATAAATTATATATCAACCTTGTTTAAAGAGTGGCTTTGGTCATTTGTTGATGTTTAATAAGATTCTGCTATCATCTGCATCCAGGTAGCTAACTTTTTTCCTCATCTCACATAATTATAATTAAAAACTCTTCTAATATACATAAACTGCAGATATAAGTGCCTGCTCAACTGAAAATATCTAATTAGCCAATCATTTGGCACCAACTCATAGATTTGTCCTGCCTTGTGTTAAAGGCTAGTATTCTGGCTAATATTTTCTAAACTTTAGGCACCTAAACAACTGAGCATCTTTTAAACCCAACAACAAACCTGAGTACTGATGCAGACAATCTTCATCCCTTTATGACAGGGGTGCCCACATTTTCACACAATGATGGAGATCAAAATCTTTATATTAACTACCATTAGAAAACCTGTAATGCTAACTTGGTCGCAAAAACAAAAATGTCTCAGTTTTAGGCTGACCTTTTCAGGCTTGAAATGAATGAATGAATGAATGAATGAATGAATGAATGAATGAATGAATAACACCACAGTACACAGTACCCGGTTCTCAACTATGTTATTCAGACACCTCACCCCCAAACCTAACCCCTCTCCCAGATTTTCCGGGGACAAATGCTGGCTGATATGCTTATATACTGAAATTTGTTCTAATTTGTCTTTTCATGTTGTGTTGAACATTCAATTAATTTTTTTAATATGCTTTTGTTTTTTGTTTTGTCTTCATGTACAGTACTTTGATCAGCCCTTTTGCTGTTTAGCTAAACTGTCACAAAGCTCCAGGGGCGGTCTGGCCATCAAGAGCACAAGGAGGACTCCCTCTAGCCTAGATATTGATTTGGCTTCTACCAGACAAACTTTTTTTATTATTATTATTTTTATTATGGGCACTAACACCTAAAATGATATTTACTGAGTTTAACATTCAAATTAAATAAAGGATGAAAAAAAAAACAATTAAAATCTAAACCTGTTAGTCTTGACTGGCAACATTGCGGTTTGATTAATGTTATCCACCAAATTGGTTAAACATTTTACATTTGTTTTTCTAAAACAAACATTCATTCATTCATTTTACTTCTGCTTTGTCCCTGATGAGTACTGAGTATATGAGGCAGAAAGATATTAGGGAAATTGAGGTGATACAGAAAGCCTTTAATTACATTTCACGGCCTCAGCCTGCTTAAAAATAAACAGTAGAAAACTGTTGACATACGCTGAAGAGCCCCACTACTTATCTACTGATACAATTGTCAAACTCTTAGTTTGTTTTTTTTTGGCCTGAAATTGTGTCTGCCCTTCAATGCTCAAATAATCTTAAAACTGGTTTCTTAAGCAAAACAGTAAAATCACTAAACTAAAATGTCCTCCACAGTCTCAGAACTCAATCCAGTCAAGAAACTTTCCCAGATAGCATATGAATGTAGGCCACTTTAGGCAGTTATACGGCACTGGTGGTCTTCCTTCGGCCCAGACACAATGAATGTGAGTCTGAAGTGGCCCACCTGTACAATGCCAAAGTGGGTCCAAAGATTAAAATTCATAAATGGCAAAAGGCAAAGATTTGGCACTTATGGCAAAATGTAATCTGAATGTGAGCCCATGTGGAAATTGATCAATTTGGCCCAAATGATGGAGGACAAATGTGGGCCACAGTTGGCAAAAAATGTGGCATACATTTTAGGGTAATCTGAGTCTAAACCTAAAGTGGCTCACACGTGTAGGTGCAAATGTGGCCCAGTTATCCTAAGACACATGTGGGCCAGTAAACTGAACTAATCTGGACTGTACTAGAACTTCTATGTTAGCTGCTTTAACAAATAAGCTGCTTTGACACATTGTAAAAGCGCTACTGAAATAAACATGAATTGAATTCAATCGCAGCATAAATAAAGCAATTCTAAAAGTAAAATGAGATGCAACCTAATCCCTGCTTCATAATTAGTTGTACTTGATAAAGTGCTAATGATATTGGTTCCTGTGTTATTGCCTGTACTTTTTCTATTTTGTACAACAGCATTACATAAAATAATGTTAAAGGCATTATTTTTAGTTTCTAAATATTCTACCTCTGTTCATTCATCCCCTTCATGTGATATTGCAGAGCTCAGCTATCATCGGTGTGTGAAAGAGAGAGAGAAAGACAAAATGAGCAAGAGCCAACAGGAATAAGGATAGACAGGCCTCATAAATTGTCTCCATCCAATTAAAGGCTAGAGCATAGATTACTGTGCAGCGGCTCAGCCAATCAGGAGACACTGCTGGCAAGTACAGCAGTAAAATATTGAAGGGCTGAGTGAGCATGTATGTTCTCCTCTGCTTCTACACCCACTGATCCTTAAGCTGTGGGCCGGTTAGTGAATGACACCAGGCTTCCCAAGCCAACATTTATTTTTTAAAGAAAACCCAAAGGAGACAATTTCAGTGCTTTTCTAAGTCCCTTTGGCTTGACATTCCATTAAGTTCCTCGCTAGGACATTCAGCACGTATGGTAAGTGGCTTTTAAAATATGATGCATGCATTTTATATCCAGGGTTTCTTTAATTACTTGTCAATCCTTGTCATTGTTTATTCTGTCATTTTACTAAATGCTTAATAACCCATTTTGTTTAAGATATATGAGAAAATCTAATTTGGTGTTGGGTCAGTACAGTTTTTCTTTTACAGTATTTCTGAAGCCAAATAGGACAATGACTTTCGTAATTAATCGGAGCTATAGTACACCCTTGAATGCTTACTTTTATAACAGACTTCAGTGCATTTTGCCCTGTAGAAGGGTTCAGATAATCTTGGAGATGTTAAAAATAATAAATTTGTAATTTATTCAATAAAAAAGAAATTTATTCCACTTGTTTTTCTATCAATGTTGAATTGCAAGATGTAAACCTATAGTTTCTTAAAAGTATAAAAATTAAATGTTGTACAAAAGTTTTGTTAACATTAACATTTGTTTTTGAAAAAGTATCTCGTAATCCAGTTGCTTTTTTTAATCTAAATTAAATGTTTTGCAAAAGGAATATTTTGCAAAACCATCAGTCATTTGGACCAGTTTATATGCTTTATATAACCAGTAGAGGGCGCAATATCATATTGTATATCTTAGCAATAAATGGAAGAGAAAAAAAAAAACAATGGGTAATTAGCAAGCAACATCAGCTGAAAAAAATAATAGTACTCTGCAAGTTTTTTTTTTTTTCTTGCATTTATTCCATGTGTTTTATCCTTGATTACATCTACCATATGTGTATTCAGCCTAGGCTCATTGGCAAAACTGTAAAAACATAAATATATCCTACCGTAAGTACAAATTCAAATATGAATAACAGTTTTTCCACACTTATCAGAACCTTAAATTTCAGAAATCTGTGATACATACCGCAACCAAAGAAACCAAATGTTACAGAAACAACATACAATTTCAGAAATGTCACCCTAAGCAAACTTTTTTTTTTTAAATAAGCAATAAAACCAACTTAAAATATAAACATAAGAAAAAAATACTTAAAATGTCTGACTTACACCACATTCCAAAGGTGCTCTGTTGGATTTAGATACTTTATAGGCAACTTGAAA